ACTCATGTAATGGTACAAGATCCCAATGATGAATGTAACTGTATTTTATACCTAAAATGTACCAATAAACTTAATGGAAAAAAAAAAGAAATTCATCAATTCAGGAAACTGCTGGGAAGCTGCACTGTGGCTAACTAGAAGGAGTGATGGAAATGAACAAGACCTGAGGTCCTGACTTCAAGACAGTTCCACTTTAGACGGGGATTTAAGGATGGAAAAAACTTTTTCATGTCTGGGTTTCACTAATATAAGTCATTTTTGAGAAAGCAAAATCTTAACTATGTGCTTTCTGTTTTGTCCAAAATATTTTTCTTCGATTTATATGCTGTTAAACTCCAAGTCACTCATTAAGGCCTCATTTAGATGTTACTCCCTGATGAAATTCTTTCCTGACTGTTCCCAGTACAGTTAATTGGTCTTCTTCCTCCTATGCCATCTACTTTCCTGTCACGTATTTGCTGTGTGCTAGTGTCAACTGTACAATGAACTATTGTTTCCTCTGCCTGTGGAGCCCAGTTCCCCTAGTATTTGCCATCTGGCTTCTTTTCTTTGTTTGGTTAAATACTACTTCCCTTGATAGTTCTTATGACTCTTATCCATTCTTATATTCAGTTTTCTTTCCTACTTTAATAATAAAACCACCAAACACTGATTGGGCATGTGGCCACCCAGAGTAAAGATTGTATTTCCCAGCATCCTTTGCAGCCAGGTATGGCCATGTAGCTAAGCACTGGCCAGTGAAATGTTAGTGGAGGTATAATAAGGTGCCAGCTTCCAAGAACGTTCCTTAACACTCTACTTCTTCCATGTTCCCTCCATCCTGATTCCTAGGTGTGAAGGGTGGGGCTCTGGCTGGCATCTTGGACCAAGTAGATGATAGCCACACCTTGAAAATTGGGGTAAGCTGAAAGGAACCTGGATCTTTGATGACTTTGTGGTGCTAGCCTGAAAACCTTGGACTGTCAGCCTCTAGATTTCATTTGTGTGAGAGACATTGTCTGAAGCCAGTCTACATAATTTTGGGGGAAAAAATCATTTCACCATTAAATTATGATTAGGGCTGTCTGAGAGCTCAATTGTCCCATAATGCTGTGATGCTCAAGGGCAGGATTATGTCATCTGAAGATATCACTGTTCTTTGAGAATCTAGTAGTAATACAAAAAGAGAACAGTTTTCACCTAGGAAGGGGCAAATTTCTTATCAGCTTAACTCATCCCACCTACTGTTGTAAAAATGTTTTGCTCATCTCACTGTACTAATCAACATAAGCTCCATTTAGCTATAAATGTCTCTAATTTTTCATTTTTTATGGCTGAGTAGTACTCCATTTTATTTTAAAAAACTACATTTTCTTTATCCAGTCTCCAGTTGATGGGCATTTGGGCTGTTTCCAAGTTTTAGCTATTACAAACTGTGCTGCTATGAACATGGATGCACATTGAGGCCATACTCTTAAGTGAAATAAATAGGACACACGTGTAAATACAAATAGTTTCTCTAATGTGAGAAACTGAAAGTGTAAATAAGAACTAAAAGGTATAATAGATAATGTGAAATAGGAAGAAAAGGGGCAAAGGGGAAGGGGAAGTGGAAGGATTAGGGGAAAGGAAAGAAGGGAAAAGAATTAATATGAGAAAATGAAAAAATGGAAATGAAGTCTTTGTAAATAGGGAGGGATGGAGAGGTTGAAGGGAAGGCAGGGGAAGGGGAAAAATAACAACCAAGAGAGACTATGTAAAGGTGCATATCTCCAATGATGAATGTCATTATGTTGTACACCTAAAATGTACCAATAAAATAAAAATTTTTTAAAAATATATGCTCCTCATCGACCTAAGATCCTCATCAGCATAAGACCCTCATTATCATAAGATTACCGCTGCCCTCTGAGTCATCTGATACTTCCTCCAATTATAAGATCCCCCTCAATTTAGGATTATCGCCACCCTCCGAGTCATGTGATGCTCCCTATGAACCCAGTAAATAGTGGCAAGCTCAGAGTGTCTTTGTCTTTGCCCACTCTAAGGCACTGACCTTCTGGCCCTCCATATACATTTGAAATTATGCAAGTTTCTATTGTCTTTTTTTCTTCAGCCCCTCACTGTTCCCCTTGCTAGGCAGTCGCAGGACTGATTGACTTTCAATAAGAGATGAACTTCTTTTTGGTTTAAGACATTATTACCCATGCTGGTAACATGCTATCACACAACCTCTTATTTCCAAGTGACTTTTTTGTTTATTTTCTCTTGTCTATTTCCCACTCTGGAACATAAGCTCCAGGAGAGCTGGTACATGATCTGTCTTGCTCTCTGTGCTCACTAGTGTATCTTCAGCGCCTAGAATAATGCCTGGCTCATTGGGAGCGCTTGATGAGTATTTGTTGTTAAATAACTGCCTCCTTTGCTACATTGTAGAGCCAGTCTTGGGTTTAATTCATTCTCCATGTCCAAAGTCTTTAGCACAGGGCCTGGTGCACAGAAGAAGCTGCATCGAGGTGCACAGGACTGCAAAGGGGAAGGAGATGGAGTTGGACGGCCATGGGAAAGACAAAAGGAAACAACATACCTGAAGTTTGGGGAGTTCCACTTACGACACCAAGAGCCTGGGCCCCTATGGACAAGAGCAGAAGGCGAGAGTTTTCTCAGTCATGCTCTGCTACTACTGCCCTGTGGCTGCTGCAAAGCCCTCCTGGCACAGTATTCACAAACGTGGACTATCTTCAGGGTGGGGCCATCTATAGTTATCTGGTAGGTACCTTTCTAAATGTAGCTCGTGCATCTTAAACTTATTCCTCTTAACATATGTGAGGGAAGCATCTCCATCCCCATTCGACAGTGAGAAGACTGAGAGTCAGCAATGCTAAGGGACTTGCCAAGTTGACCCCGCCCACTGATAGCACAGCTGGGATTGGAACCACACATGAAACTTCAAGTTGAGGGACAATAAAGGGGCAGGACAACTTGGGGCGAGTCTTGATCCTGAGACAGGCTCCATCTGCTCCTCTGTAAAATGAGAGTAACAATAGTGTTTATCTCCTCGGGCTGTTGTGAGCGTTCAAAGTGTTAAAGCCTATAAAGGTGTGTGGCATGGTATCAGACACAACGAAAGTATTATGATGATGACTACCATTAATAGTACCATATCTTAATTTCTTCAGGGCAAAAAAATTGCTTTCTTTTCTTTTGGGTTTCTTGACTCCTCCATTCTGGTAGAAGTAGAAATCATGGCAGTACTGTGAACTTGTGTGTAGAATGGATGGAAATTTGAGGAGCAGTTGGAAAGCTTTCCTATATCCTGCTCGAGAAGACTGTACACAGTCATTCACCAGAAAACAAAGTTACATTGAAGTAGGAGTTAGGACTCAGACTTCATCCAAAAGGGGCTGAATTATAGGGACCTGAAGCAGTGGAAGTAAGAAAAAGGCCACATGCTTTACAGTCAGACTGAGCTGGGTCCTATCCTAACTGCTGCCATTCCTGGGCAAGGTGATCTTAGGTGACGCCTTTCTCTCTGTGAACCTTGATTTCTCACTTGTAGAATGGACACAGTCATAACAGGGTTAAGTAACTGGCTGAATACAAGAGCTAAGCCTGGTCTCCAGCACGTAGGAGACCCACTGCAATGGCAACGCCATTCCGAGTCAGGGAAAGATGTAGAGTCATCTGTGGGGACTGGATTGAGGAGGCAGAAAAGTCCTGAGGAGTTAGCATCGGTTACTCTGGGCCTCTGTGGTTAACTGTCAGCACACGGCCAGCTGACCTTCTCATGAAGACTCAGCCTCTTACCTCTCCGAGCGATGGGTCCCAGATCTAAAACTTTGCCCAGGTCAAGGGCCAGTACATCACTGCGGAGTTGATTTCTTGAACAAGACTATGGAGACAAAAAAAAAACAAACCCTCTTATTATACAACAAAATTTAGATGCAACTAATCTACCTTCATCCATCTGTCCATCCATCCAACCATCTATCCATCTATCCATCCTTCCAATAAATACATATGGAGAGCCTTCACATGCCATGTCCCTGCCACAGGTGACTCTGGGCTAAACACTGGGACCTTCCTCATATGGCCCTAATTCTGATACTGTACTTTTCTCAACCCAGAGAATTCACACTGTTATACCAAACAAATCTGGGTTTGGAATCTCATCTCTGCTCCCTTTTAGCCCTGTAGTTTGGGATAAATGATTTGGCTACTCTATAATGATTAGATAGGACATACCTGGTTTTGAAGGCTAGAACAAAGAATATGTATAACATTTAGGTAGATAGTAAACACTCAATAGATGCCAACTCTTCAGGGCAGGGCCCAGTGGGTAAAAGGGCATGGGCACTAGAGTCACAGCTCAGCTGGGGCGCTTCACAGGTCTGTTATGTTTTTTTTGTTTGTCTTTGTTTTTAGCACTGGGGACTGAACCCAGGACTTGCACGTGCTAGGCAAGTGCTCTACCACTGACCACCTCCTCTTTCTGAGATAGATTCTCACTAATTTGCCCAGGTTTCCCTCAAACTTGTGATTCTCCTGTCTCAGCCTCCCAGGTGGCTGGGATTTACAAAGGTGTGCCACCATTCCCTGTTCCACCCCTAATACTTTCTACCTGTGTATGGCCCTTGGACAAAGGACTTCCCTAAGCCTCATTTTCTTATTTGTACAGTGAAAAATCTACTTAAAGTGGCATTGCAGGGCCAGGGATTTAGCTCAGTGGTTTCGCCGTCTGCTGCGCAAGCGCAAGGACCCGAGTTCGATCCCCAGTACCAAAAAAAAAGTGGCATTGCAAAAGTTAAATTAGATAAGGCATACAAAAGTTTTGGCATGCTACTTAGCAGAGTAAGCACTGAACAAATTAACTATGGGACAAGTATCTCTTATCCAAAATGGTTGGATGCAGAAGCATTCTTCATTTGAGAGTTTTTCAGATTTTGGAATATTCAGATAGACTTTATTGGTTGAACATCCAAAACTTTAAATGTTCAAAAATCTAAAAATCTGAGCATCATATTGCTCCTCGAAAGAATTTGGACTTCAGATCATACGGATTTCAGATTTTTGCATGAGGGATGCTCCACTTGAATTATTATAATCATTCAAAATACGTCTTGTGTCAAGGAAAACTGATCTGCCTGCTGGGGACAGAATAATTGTTTATAAATGGGCTTTCAAGATCCTTAAAGTCTTCCTATCTATTCATTCTCCCTGGTTCCTTTCTCCCTCTCTCCTTCACATCCAGCTACCCATCTGTTTTTCAGTCTCCTCAGACATCAGTCCAACTAATCTACCTTCTTCCATCCATCCATCCATCCATCCATCAATCCATCCATCCAATAGATTTGCTGCCAGGTGCCAGGCTTCATGCCAGACTCTGAATTGTCCAGTTCAAAGAGACACTCACCGGTTGGCATTGTTCGTGAAGGGAGTCACAGAGATGAACCTCACAATGCAGGAAAACTAGGTCATTATTTCCAGCAAACATGAACATCTGAACTGAGAACCGGCTCTCTGAAGACACTCCATTCTCCTCCACAGAGATAGTGGAATCGAGTTGATTCGGGCAGCTGGATGGAGGAAAAGGACAAGCGCTGGAGAAATGAGAAAGTTACACAGCCCATCCCACCCCAGTTCCTTCTGTCGTGGCACCAGACTTTTTCTATTCCTCTATTTCTTCCATAAGTTCACATACTTTAAATTATTTGGGACACAATCTCTGGAGTGAGAAAGACTGATTTTACATCCAGCACAACCCAATTTCTAGCTAAATGATCCTGGGCAGGTTATTTAACCTTAGTGAGCCTGGATGTTCTTATTGAAACACAAAAATAATAGTATCCACCTCATAGAGTGGAGGTGAGTCTTAATGAGACATTGTACATATTGCTTAGCACAAAGTTTGGCACTAGCTAAGCTCAAAGATAAATATCACCAAAGAGTATTACTGTGCTTTGAATCATGATCTATAGTTACGTATTTTCCTTTGTTTGTGTCAATTATGTTACTGAATAATATTTTGTCCCGTGATATTTATCATATCTTTTTCATGTTGATCAGTGTTAACATATGTATAATAGTCTATCATTACTCAATTTATCCCCCATTTTTTCTTTTTTGGTACCTGGCATCAAACTCAGGACCTTGCGCTTGCGAGGCAGGTGGCAGAACCACTGAGCTAAATCCCCACCTGCCACCCCCCTATTTTTTGAACAATGATCTCATTGCCAACATTATGAAGAATACCAAAATGGAAAATAATTGGCATTTCCTTATTCTACCCACCGTCTGTTTTGTATTAATGTTCTATGCTAAAATATCAGGGTCAGAGGATGTGGTTACAGTATGTAATACTGAATTTTTTCATAAAGAAGCAAGTCAGTGTACACAATCGCCTGGTCTGGATGGGATGAATAATCTCTCCCAAATTTTGTTAAGGCCAAAGAGAATCCCAGAGTCACCCGATACCTGTTTCTGATGATGAAGTACTTCACAGGGTCATTCTTGTCTTCAGAAGGGGTGGCATAGCAATTCTTTAACAACAGGTTAAAACGGGAGCTGTCTCCTCTCTCCAAGATGGCGCCCACATAGAGCATGGATTCCACTGACAGCACAACTGTATCCCCTTCATAAGGATTTGTGTAGCTCTGGTCTTGGAAGAGGGCCATTCTGACTGTGAAATCTCCATCCCCGCCCACACTGATGTTCAGAGAACTAAGACAAGGAAAACCCCAGCAAAAACATCAGATTTTGAGCAAAGAGTGCAGCATAAATCAATCCCTGTATGTGTATAGGTTATAGAAACAAAAGCGCATCTTTGTCCTCTAAGTAAATAATTCAATCGTCCATTTAAATGGAGTGTTTACTAGCTTCTAGACACTCAGTTGGACACGTGGACAAGTCTGTCTGCAGAATCTGCACTGATCTCCTTTCACTAACCTTTACTCCTCATATGAACTAATTCTTATTCCTTACATTCCCTGACTTTATGTTGTAGGACACAGCTCTCACTCGCTTAAGAAATAAGGGTGAGAGTACACTACCGTCTCATTGCTCGGAGAAGGCGGGTTGGGACCAGTTCTGTGGGTTCACAAGTTTTAGCCTCAATGTCATCCCTCTGCTCACAGTCTTTTCAGTTAAACTCCATTTTAACAAGGAAAATACTCATGTGTGTGTGTGAGTGTGTTGTTTCTAGAGATCGAACTCAGGGCCTCCTGTGTGGTAAGCAGTGCTCTACACCCTCAACCTTCATTCTGATTCTGTGTGAACCATCAGTCCCAACACAATGGAGTCCGAAAACCACTGAACTTGAAAGTTTCTAACCCTTCTGATTCTTCCATTCTGAAAACCCAGGAAATAATGAAGGAAGGGGACAGGAGCTCTGGATTTCTGGACTTCTACCAGCTCAGAAAATTCCACAGCAAGTCTAGAAATATAAAAAAAAAAAATTGATTCATCAGGGCCCCTCTCCAGGTAAGGAATTACAGCAATGAATAAAACCGACATGAGTCTTGCCCAGATAGAATCCCATCCAAATTTCTTTGCTGTGGAGGGAGGCACTGTTTATCCAAACAGTGGCTTCAGTTTGAATCTGAAGTTGGCAGTGAAGTCTTCCCCTCTCTGCCCTTCCACTCACCAGGATTAGGTCCGGGCCCCCTGCTCCCTACTCCAAAGCACCCCATGATTCTTCTACATTGTGTTTATCTCACTTGTGAGAAACTGTTGATATAATCATCTGTTCAGTGCCTTTCTTCACAAGGAAAATACCTTTTTCAGGGTTATGGTTCCTGAGCACATTGACAAGCATTGTTTCCTAATGCAGCATTGCTTTGTAATAATAATCTTTAATATGTATGGAATATTCCTTAATATACAATCAACAAATATTTGTGGAATGAATGAGTGTAAGCTCACAAAAGGTGTTGCTAGCATTGTGTGGACCTCATAAACTATGCCAGAGTGAGTGTGTTGAAAGTCGAGGTTATGAGTCAAAGGGCAAGGGTCAGTACCGTACCTTACAATGGGCTGAAGTGCAGTTTGGAGGCTGACCTTCATGTCCAGTGGGTAGGCACACTGGAAGTTGATGTTGACGAGCACGTCTCTGATGATGAAATTGTTGGCCAAGGAGAGGGTGTTTTTGTAGATGGCATGGGTTCCATTTTTCTTTGGCATAAAAACAATACTACATATAATCTATGTGGTTGTGTGTATGTCTGTCCCAAACTCAGATCTGACTGATTCCAGTGTTGGTGTTATCAGCCATGTAGCTACCCTGCCTTCGAATCTCAAGGAGGCAAAGGGGCCTCTTTTTCCTCTTCCTGTGGCACTGACACTTTATGGGAAGGGGCATGGGGGTCCTGGACTAAAAACTAGAACAATAAATGACTAACCCCGCCGGAGAGTCAGGGACCAACATGTGTGATCATCAGTGTACCCTTCCCATACCAGCCTTGATTAAAATAATCATAATCATGGCTTACATTGGCTAAGTGCAAGTGTCCGCCTGCCCTAAGCTTTTTATGTGGACCAAGATGTGGACCCCACATAAGCTTGGGGGCTTAGAGAGGGTAAATGACTTGCCCTAAATCTCACAGTTACTAAGCTGGGTCCCATCAGCCTGAGACCCACTGACTTACCTCAAGAATGTTCCCGCAGGCACTATCTTGGACAGGGCTGATCACAGATAACCAGTTGCCATCTTCTCTTTGCAGGACGCTGCTGCAGTTCCAGTCACTCAGGTAGGCCAACACCTCCTCCCCCAAACCCAGGCTTTCCAGCAAACATTTGTCCAGATTCACCTTGATCTCACTGGCCCCACAATCCAGCTGAGGCTGCAAACTGTGAACATCTGGAAAGCCAAGAGGGAGCTTGGTAGGATGGACAGAGATCCAGAAGTAGTGCGCAAGCCACCATGCCCAACAGGAGGCTGGGTAGGCTAGAAGGATCCTGAGACCCATGTGGGATTCACACTCAGCCTGGCCAAGACCGCTAGTGCAAGATTTCCAAGCATCTTGTGTGCAGACTTGGCTGAGTTCCCTTTGAGGATTGGGATCTTTGGAGAAGCAAAATGGTCCTGTATTCCAAACTATCATCAAAGCTAGATACACTCTCCTCTGTGAAGCCAGCACATCTGACCAAGTTCAGAGCTACTGCATTCTTCATTTGTTCATTCATTCTACAAATATTTCTTGAGCATCTCCTATCTGAGTTCTGCCCCAGGCATCTGCCCATATGCCAAACATGAAGGCTCTAGACATTTTTCTCTAGATATTTGTATAGCTCCTACTTGTAGAATTCTCATCTTCAGTACCCTTGTCCCTCCTGGGTCAAACTTGCCCTTGCCAGAACTGGTTCCTGAGGATATGATCCGGAAAGTTGTTCCAGCCCTGCCCTCTCATCCTTACAAACCCCTTGGCCTTGAAGCAAGAATTCAGGAGAACCCACAGCTTCCCCCAACCTCAGCTGCATACCCCTGACTTTGAGCCATACCTTCTCCTGACCCTCCAAAGGTCCCTCCTCCTTCCCTGCCCACTCAGGACAGCAACCACCAGCCCTGGGAGCTGCTCACCAGAGCTGTTGAGGTTCTGTCTGCAGAAACAGCCCCAGATGCCATCTTCCATACGGCACTCCTCTTCTGGGCGGCAGGTGTCCTCACACCTGTTCTGCACGGTGGAAGGGTCTAGGAGACGGAGCATGGTGGGAAAGGGTCAGCATGCAGAGCAGGGCAGGGTAGATCTGAGGCTCCCCAAGTCCAACCCCTCATTCCAGCAGGGTGCTAGAGTCTAGCTAACCATGTGAGATACTTAGTGGATTTCCTGACTCTCATCCCAGTGGTGTGATTAGGAAGCTAAAACTGCTATCAAATCACTTACTGTAGGCTAGGTAGGCACTGTTACTTTCCATATGTTAGCTCATTCCTCATGGTGACAATGTGAGACAGGGCAGCATGGTAGCTGAGCTCATTCATGCCAGGGGTAGCATGCTTGGGTTCAAATTGCAGCTCTGTGATATTGGGAGAGCTATTTAACCTCTCAGTTTCCCAGACCCCTAATCTGGGTAACTCTACAGCACTTATTTAATGCAGTTTCTGGGAGGAATCAATGTGTTAATACACTTCATGTGCTTAGGATAGCAGTAAGGTGTGTTGTGAACTCTATGCATTGGCTGTTAGTATGCTATTATCCAGTTTCTCAGAAACTGATCAGAAAGCTGAGGCTCTGAGAGGTACATTGACGTGCTCAAGTGAAAACGAAATCTGAATGAGTCTGAAGTCTTGATGCGCAGTATGCACAAATCAGATTTTACTCTTGAATCATAATTTCTGGCTTGACTCAAAATGTTGGAAGGGCTGGTAACTGTCGGGATATACTCCCACCGGGCAAGTGCTGGCAAGAGCCGAGAGGAAGCTGCTGTAGCTGCCTGGTCTCCTCTTCCCCAGCTCTCCTCGCTCTGTGAGCCCCGGGCACCCCATGCCTTGCCCGGCCCGCAGGTGCTGCTCACCTGTGCAGTATCTCAAAGTGCACGTCGGGGTGGACTCCAGCCTGTACACATGGTACCCACCCGGGCAGGCCTTCACCAGCACGTTGGTGCTCCAGAGACAGCAGCTTTCACTCCAGTGGGCACAAGCAGTGTGCTGAACGATCCCATCCCCAAGGAAGGGGTGGGTCCCGTTGAGCCACATGGGAGCATCGGCCTGGCATCGGCGCATTGGGACGCAGCTCTCAGACATCCGCACTCCTCCTTCACCCACAAAGCGGTACCAGCCACGCAAGTCCACATCACAGACCTTGTTGCTCATGACTGTGTTCTCGATGCTACGGGAGGGCTCGTCCAGGACGGTGTGATTCTGGCAGGGGTCAAAACAAATGTCGGCCTCTGGGGTTCCAGGATCTCCGCAGGCCAGGTCTTGCGAATAGGAACTGATTTCTCTGGGACTTGTGTAACCTGTGAGCCGGACAGACAGAGCATGCTTGGGTTTACTCAGCAACTCCAGAGGGCACAAGATTTTAAGTCCCCCTTACACTGTCCTTTTTATGTGCTAAGGGCCCTAAGGAGGCCAAGAAGCACACAGTCTGTGAATGAAACATCAAACATCATCACCTTGGGATCAGAATAATCGGGGAGAATTTTGTGTGGTATTTTATGGCCATTAAGGACATTTGGGCCCCTGGCCTGAACAAACCTCCACTCCCCACCTAGAGTGACAGCGAGCTTCCTATGGGGCTGCCCAGGAAGCCCTGCTTGACCAATATTTGTTTTTCTCATAATTGTAATGCAGACTCACTGGAGGGGAAAACCTCAAATATTAAAATGAATACAGTAAAAATGAAATTTGTCATCGTGCCCACTTCAGCAGCACAAATGCCGAAATTAAAGTTGCTGTGAGCCCATCATATCCCCCAAGATATTCATAAAATTGTTGTACAGCTTTTAGTTTCTTCTCATGCATATAAATTAATAATTATTTTGTAGAAATAAGACCCAGTTTAGTGCTGTCCAACTTTTTTCCCATTTGCATTTTTATTTAATATAGCATAGACATTTTTCCATATCGGAGAAGTCTGGTTTAAGACTTCTCAACCTTGGCACTACTGACAGGTTGGTTGGATCATTCTTCATTGTGGGGCTGTCCTGTCCTGTGCATTAGAGAAACTTTCTGCCCTCTATCAGCGAGGTGCCAATAGCACCCCTGAAGTTGTTCCATTGTCAAATGTTCTCCTTGGGGAGAAAAATTACTTTCAATTGAGAACCATTGATCTTATAAGACCAGTTCTTATTACTGATCTTCCTTTTTCTTTTTAAGTTCCAGGGGATGTGATATATGATAAGGTAGAGATATAATGAAAAGTACAACCAGTTGTTGGTCAGAGTGGCTTTAAATCCAGCTCCACACCTTCATGGGGCCTCATGTTGGCAGGGGTTTGAGCTTTCCTGAGGCTCTTTCAAGCTGATGGTTCCCAAACTTAGTTCCCACAGCGTGGATCATAATGTTGCTATACCCGTGTCTGCCTGTCCTGGTATGTACTTGCAAGGTTCCTTTAATTTTTTTTTTTTTGGTGCCGGGGATCAAACTCGGATCCCTGCGCTTGTGCAGCAGGCAATGAAACCACTGAGCTAAATCCCTGGCCTGCAAGGTTCCTTTAAATGATTTTCTGTAAAAATTAGTTACATCTAAAGGAATGATATCTAAGACACAGTGAATGAATTGCATTTTTAATATACATGAAAATAAATATACAAACATTAAACTTTTTTTTTTTGGTACCAGGGACCTAAGTTGGTACCTTGTGCTTTCGAGGCAGGCGGCGTAACCACTGAGCTAAATCCCCGGCCCCAACATTAAAGATTTTTAAAGAATCTGCCAGGCACTGCCAGAGCCATCTTGGGATGCATATGCTCCACTCGGGAAATAAAAGTTTAAAGGGTTGTTAGAGGAGGAAATGAGATGATTTCTGTAAAATGCCAAGTCCCGCACCTGAGTCGAGCTTGTTCTGTCTCTGGTTCCAGTCTGCTGAGTGCCCTGATTGCACGTGATTGCATGACAGAGAAAGAACAAACACGGGCTCACATTTGTTTTTTTAGCATTGTCTCCTTTTTCTTATTTTAATGTAGCACAATATTTATTAGTAGTAATAAAGAAAATATAAAAACACTCTTGTTATGTTTATGAAAAATAAAACAAAATTTCATAACAAAATAATTAGCAAATGATAATAGTTATCATACTGTGTACCAGGATCTTAAAAGAGTGGCCAAAAGTTGCTCAGCTACAGAAAAAGACTTCTTACAAAGAAGAAACTAACAAATAAAAGGACAAAACGTTTTTTCAATGAACAGAAAGAAACTAGTAGTATAAATGAAGCAAAGTAGCGTATGTCTTAAAATATTGTTGTTTCGGGTTATCACGATTCCTGTCAGAGGAGCTTCTTAGAAGAAAAGATAGTCGAGCTTTTCTCATGCGTATCTTAAGGGAACCACTGTTCTTGTTATTCTTGGATCATTTCCTGCGTTCTCTGTGTTTTCCCATCAGAGACCCTGAGCTGAGTTCTCCCAGTGCTCCCTCCACAAGGCTGAAATTGCACCCTATTTTGAAACCTGAGACCCTTTCTACAAATATTTAAATTGCCTGATTGGTGTAGAGATGGGCTGAGGAGCCTCAGGAGAGCTAGTCATCTGCCATGGTGTGGAGCCAGCAGGCACAGAGCTAAATTTAGAGCCACCCTGGCCAGCAGCTGGTCTTACCCTTCATCCCTTCCTTACATCTCTACCTTATCATATCTCACATCCCCTGCAATCTTTTAAGAAAAAAAAAAAAGATCAGCAATCAGAAATTGTTCTATTAGATCAGAAAGAGACCAGAGATGTCACTAAGTCTAGCAGATGAGCAAAGTGATAACAGAAAGAATTTGCCAGCACAAGGCGATGGATGATTTATTTCCTCATTTTCTCCCATCCCAGCTCTGATCACCCCCAGGCACAGGGGTTGTGCTGACTGGTGCCTCTCTCTTCCCTTTCAGGCAACTTACCCGTTTGGCTCTGGAGCAATGTGACTTGATTCCCTTTTCTCTTGTCAAGTTCCCCTTGACCACCAACTCCAGGTCATTGCTTTAGACTTGCCTTTCTTTTCACTGGCCCAAACTGCTGTTTCTGGGCTGCCCTGCTCACTCCCTAGGTCCTGCTAGCCACCTGTGATGCCAGGTGAGCACTCACCTTGCTGTACAGCCGATGCCAGGGCCAGAATGCAAGAGGCTAAGGTCAGCCACAGGAGGTGAGAGACCACCATCCTTCTGGTAAGGCGAGGCACACAGGTCACTCCACAGTGTGCAGACTGTCCGTGCAGCTGCAGGAGAAGAAAGGCCCATATAGGTCAAGGCAAGTGTGCAGGGATAAGACAGGAGCTCACATCAGTTCACACCTATTGTACGGCACCTCTCCCATGTGCAAGCATTGTGCTGGAAGTTACACAGCTTGCTGAGAGCCATAGCATAAGGCCATAGCCTTCCTTCATGGAGCGATAAATAGTTTCAAAGAAGGTGTGACTTGCAGAAATGGGATGAGATAACAGGAGTAGGGAATTTCACAAGGGGATGAAGTTGATAGGAAGCCAAGTGCTGCCAGTCTTGCAGAATGTCCCTAGAGGTGGTCTCAGGATGGTCCCCGTTCAGATCAAAGTAGAAGCTGCCTAGAGATGAATGACAGAGAGCCTGTGAATGCCTACAGACAAAAGTAATGATTTCCCGCTTCTGTTTTATGTGTCAGGTCCTTCTAAGAGCTCCCAAACTGTCCTCTACATGCATAGATTTCCATAAGGGTGGGACCACATCACACTGAGGCCTGTGCTCCTTGCTCTTAGCCCAGAATCCAGCATACAAGAGCTGCCTAGTAAAGATGTGAAGAATGAATGGATAAATAAATGAGTGGGTAGGCAGAAAAGAAAGAGTTTTGAAAACCCTGCCAGCACTCAGATGGCATGTCCTCTTCTGAGAAACTCTCAAGACAGCAGTGCTCGGGATGACTTCTCGCTCCCCAAAAGACTTCCACTGAAGACTCTGTTTCTGGAAAGGATATCGTGGATATACTCTGAGAGGGCAGGGTTGGGAGCACAGGTCTGTAATTATAGAAGATCTGGCACCAGATGGACATCCATCTTTCTGGTAGGAAGGGCGAAGGGGACATCTGCAGGCTGACAGCAGACAGCTGGTGGCTGGAATTATGGTTGCTCTGGACATAGAGAGATTTCAAGAGCACTCGACAATGGCTAAGGTCCAAGTTCCTTGCTGGGATTCTGAAAGTTCCCAGACACAAACAACCTTAGCACTTGTAGTGGGTCAAGAGAGCGAATTCCCCAGGATTCAGCGAAAGCTTGCAGGACTTACCTTAGGGTGAGAATCCAGAACCTTCCTCTTCCTCCAGCTGACTATGGGAAGGCAGCCTGCTGCGGACTCTTTTATTGCTGTCTCCCACCCATGTGGCTCCCCAGGATTGGTGCTCAGGTAGGACTGTCGTTAGTTTCCCAGCCACACATCAGCCTTGGGTGTAGGTGAGATAAGTGATTTCCCGCAAGGGACGGTGAAAAAAAAGGTCCCTTTGCTCTTTCTCCCACAATATAAACAAGTCTCTCCTTCATACAAATGCTTCGCTATAAACAACTGCAATATGTACTGAATGCTGACTACGCTGCACTGTCAAGCTCTCTGCAACCATTACTTCCCATAGCCTTACTTCTTTAATCCTTAAAATAAACCCATGAAGCTGGTGCCACATTTATTCCCAGAAACCAAACACCAATGAGAAGGAAGTTAATACCCAAAGGAAAGTGGAGAGAAATCAAAACAGCCTCTTGTTTGCACAATGGATTTCCAATGTACCTTATGCTCCTAGCTAGTTACCTTGGAACACTTCTGCTTCCAGCAGCTCTGGGCTCGAGAGAGCAAGGGAAAAAAATAAGGAGGGGGTATTTCCAATCCCTGACCCCTGCATTCCACTCCATTTCAGATATTTAATGCCAAGAGAGCCTGGAATGGGCAATTTGTCACAGTGACTCACAGAATGGAAAAGAACACACAAGGCTTCTGGACAGAATCAACACAGCTTCCCTCATCTCCTCCGACATGCGGGCTGCTACGGAGATGGGAAGGCACGGAACAGAGAAGGGGCTGGAGAGGACCTTGGATCTTTACACTCCAGGCTTGCACCAGGCTTCCACAGCACACTGGAAATCATGGACTAATAAGAGTCAGTGCTTTTACAGGACGGATCACCCCCACCTTTTCTCTGTTGCTCCAGGATTCTTTAGGGAGCCAAGGCTCCTGGACAGGAGGAGCGTGGGTGATCTTGGACACTGTTCCCTAACACCTTATAACAAAATGTTAATCTGGAGAAAGAAAAGATGCTGCTCCTGGTGCAGATGGGGAAAATCCCCCAAAGGTGGAATTTACGGGAACTGGACCCACGATATAGCCCACTACCTCGCTCCCTTTGGCCAGATACTCTGCGTCCCCCAAAGGTCACTCCGTACTTTCTCACCCTCGCCAACCATGTCTGCAGCAAGCATCACCCCTCACCTCATCGTTCTTGGCAGATTCCTGCATCCTACTTCAAAAAAAAACCAAGACCACAGCACCTGACTTTGGTCCTTCTCCTATTAATGTATAAATATTTGCCTCACTTCTCTCTGCCCTCCTTCATTCCCCTCCTCCTCCTCCTCTTATGCCTCGTCTTGGCAGTGCTGGGGACCAAATTCAGGGCCACTTGCATGCCAGAAAAGTGCTGGATCACTGAGCTATATCCCCAGCCACCCTCGGTCCCCATGCAATTTATGATGTGCCCTCCCCTTCTGCTCTTCTTTTAAAGATTTACTGTATTTAATTATTTCAATTGAAAGGTAACATTGTGTGATTTTATCATGTTCAACTTGAAGTTTCCACATCTTGGGGTGGTTAGACCTAGCTCATGAGGAAATGCAAGCCTTTCCATAGTTACCCATTTTGGTACCGAGGCTATATACCATCCATGAGCTTTATTATTTACTTTTTGAGTTTTCAATGTATGTTTTATTGGTGTAAAACTAAAATAAGTTAATATAATTTTCTGGCCTGCCAATTAGCTATATAGAAGTACATGAAAAAAAATTTTTTCATTGCAATTTCTTTATGGAGGGGTGAAAAAGAAAATGGTTTAGCTGATGTGTAAGGTGACTTTAGTCTTTCTGCATAGGAAGATCAAAGAGGAATTCACCAATAAGATGGAAAATTAAGACTTCAAATCTACTTCTTTGTATTAGTAGATGCTCTTTTAGTGAAATCGCAAAGATATTTTTCTCTCTTAATAAAAGAAGCAAATACATAAATGGCTGAAGGGTATTTTTCTGCTTTTCAATTTTACCAGTTTTTTCAGAAGCTGTAACAATATTACTGACTTTTTACTTCTTTGATAAAAATTAAAGAACTGTTTTTGTTTTGGTACTCTAAAATTGCTTTTTAAATTTTTCAAGAAAACAATACATTGTCATTTACTATAGTCACTGTTCAACAGATATGTTTAAATTTATTTCTCCCATGTAATTGTAATTGATTATATCTCCTTTGACTAACAATGAGATTTTTACCTTACCCTGGTTGGAACAGCTCTTAGCAAAGACAAAAGAAATATTGATGAGGATGGAGAATAAGAAATTTTTACATACTGTCAGTAGAAATGTAAATTAATCCAGCTATTATGGTAAATAGTATGAAAGTGCCTCTAAAAACTAAAAATAGAACTGTCACGTGATCCAGCCATCCCACTTCTGGGTATGCATCCAAAGGATGTGAAATCAGTGTGTCGAAGAGATGTCAGGACCCCTACATTTATTGTAGCACACTTCAGAATAGCCAGGGGGTGAAGATGACCTGAGTGACCATCAGCAGATGAAGGACAAAGAGCGTGTGGTGTATGCACACCGTGGAGTACTATTCACCCTTGAAGAGGAAAGAAATTCTGTCACTTGAGAAAATGGATGAACTAAGCCAGGCAAGAAAAGACAAATTACCACATGATCTCATTTGTGTGTGGAACCTAAAAACATGGGTCTCATAGAAACAGAGTAGAGTGCCAGTTCCCGGAGCCTGGGGCGGTTGGGGTGGGGACCTGCTGGCCCAAGCATCCTTCTGTATTCTAATCCAGCTCCTTCCCCCTCTTCCGACTTCTCCATTCTGATATAAACCCTGTGGCTAAAACCTCCCTCTTAGGTCATTTCATAGGCAAGTTCAGTGGTCACTGATTCCTATCCCTTGTCACTGGATTTCTTTGCTGCTGCTTCTGGGTACCCTGATGTCTTCCCTTTTAAAAAGTCTTCTATGCCTATCTGGAAATCCCTGCTGTCACCATAGGATGCTCTTCCTCCAGCTGCCCGGTAGGTCCCATTTTTCTTGTCCATTCCTATGGCCCCCTGGGAGGTGTCAGGCTGGGATGTTTTCAAGTCCCATCTGCAGGCTGGTGTGTTTCCAGCCTGCTCCCGGGGCTGGGTCTCCTCTCCTGAACTTCAGGTCCACCCACTGGTGTAGGCCTGAATTTGTCCGTCTCCAGACGTCCCCCTCACCATGCTGGTCACCTACTGCAGTCAGAAGCACCTCGAGCCTGCTCTTTCCTTTGTCCCCCACCCCACATTTCCAGTAAGCTCCGAATCTTGACTTTCCACATTTCCAGTGTTTCTTGAACCTCTCCTTCCTCTGCACCTGGACTTCACCCTCCGAAGTCGGGCCGCTGTCTCCAATGGCAGTGACTTTAGCAGCTGTGTCACGGGTCTCTCTGCTCTCGTTTTGATCGGCTTTGTCTCTGCGGTATGCCTTGCAGGCAGATCCACAGCACCGTCTCCGCGTTATCCTCCATTCTCAGCACTCTGTGGTCCTTGGGATCTGACCCCGATGACGGTTCCCCTCACCTGTGCTTCTCTGCTGCATTTCCTCGGCCACAGACATCATGTGGCTCTCTGACCCCCGCCCCCACCTTTGTCTCTGCTGTCCCCCTGCCCTGGGCACCCAGTGCCCCCAGCCTTTTCTTACTTAACACCTCTTCCAGGAAGCCTTTCCCGGCTCCACAGGCTGACACCTGCTCCGCTCCTCTGCTCTAGGCCTCTGGGACCTGATTCCACTCACACTTAGTTCCCTGGCAAATCATCTGTCTCCCTGTGAAGCTGTGAGATCTTTGTGAACATAGATTCTCCTATCTGTGCTGCTGTAACCAGCACCATGAAAGTACTTGTTAAATAAATGAATACACTTGCACAAGATGCATGCTCCAGGCTCTCTCCGGTGAGTAATGCCCCAAACACATGACTGCCCAAGGGTTGGTCAGCCTTGGGGGAAAGACCCAAAACCCTGCCTCGGGGCCTTTGCACTTGCTTTTCCCTTTTGCCTTCTGGATATCCCCAGGTCACTCCTTTACTTCTCTCAGCTTCAGCTTATCAGAGAGACCTCATCTGTTCATTCTATATAAAATAAAACCCCCTCTGCTATAGCGCCCTCTCTTTCTTTTTTTCTTCCTCCATAGTACCTGCCAGCATCTACCACATCTCACGTAGTTATTGTTTAAATGTATGCCCTTTCATATGTAAGTCCCTTACCAGCAAGGGCTCTGTTTTGATTGCTTGATGTTTCCTTGGTACCTATAAAGTGACTGGCTTTGAATTTATGACCCAAATATTTATTGGCTATATGAGCTGAATAACTAACTGATAGAAATCAGAAAGGAAAGGAAAATACTAGGAAAAGGGGACAAAAGAATGAATTTTCTTTGCTTCGCCTCTTGTTTCTGGCCCTTGTTTTTATTTTGCTTGGCTCTGATTTTTCCCCGGTGTTCTGCTGTACCTGAGTCAAAGTACAGCTGAATGCAAACGTGGCAGGGGCGCCCAACTGACCTCACTCTGGCGTGAGAGTGTGGGCCTACGGAAAGACAGCTGCACGCACCCTTGGTGCAAGTCTGCGTGTGATAAGAGGTCCCGTATCATTACACATGCCATCCCGCGGCCCTCCCTCGCAGGAACACACTTGTGTGCTCCCCTGGGTTCCCACAGGCCTTGACTCTGCTGGAAAGGCCCCCGCTAGAGTCCGGGGAAGCAGCTGGGCCAGGGCACAGAGTTCCCATGGGCACCGGTGTCTTTCTGCCCACTTGGCAAGAAGGTGCGGAGACCCTTGGGAGATGAGGGTGTCCTGGGCCCCACTCCTGCTGGTGAAGCCTCCCACCACTGGGAGCCTGGGTCTCCTCTCCACGGTTGCTTCGGTCCTGGCAACAGATCTGCAGCTCCACATAGGGAAGGAGACATCTGACGCTGGAGGGAGGGGCCTGAGGCTGTGCCAGGTGTCTGCCATGGCCGTGCTTCTATCTTATCACGTCTAAGATTGGGAGACTGGTGAAGGCTGAACTGGGTCCATCTTACCCGCCAGGAGTTCCCTGAACCTAGCACAGGGCCTGCACCTACGAAGTCCTCGAAAATATTTCTGAAAAACTGAATGACCCCTTGGAGGGCATCACTGTTGTCTCCACTGGGCAGAAACAGCCAACCACCTGTTAAACCCTCCGTTCCTGCTGGACAAGGCCAGCATTTCTGCCTCACAGGAGGGCGGGCATTGTGGGTGACCTGCTCACTGTGTTATGTTCCCTGCTATGTCTTTAGCTTTAGGCACAGGGCCTGGTACATGTAGTAGCCCAGCACATTCTTGAATCACTGAATGGGTGGATGAGTGAAAAGGGCAGATGGATGAAGCTCAGACATCGTGAATCTTCTCTAAGGACACAGAGTGGAACCTGGGCTGAACTTGTTTCTCTGAGCCTACTGTCTACTCTCCAAGGGGCTGCTTTTCCCCCGCTGGGGATCCTCTGCGCCAGAGACAGTGTCTACATCTAGTAAATGCTCAGTAAATTGGTGTTGACTCAGCGAATGACTTCAAAGGCTGTATGTTTTCTTTAATTATCATTTTACCACAACCCTAAGGAGACGGAGCCCCAGGTGCAGGCAAGTCGCAAGTCCCATCTGGGGAGCGAGCAGTATTGAATGGGACAGACTGTCTGCCCAGAGCAGGGATTCAGGGGCAGAAAAGAAGAGCAGGCTGATGAAGGGCCAGCACTCCCCGGCACCTCCCCTCCTGGCCGGCAGGAAGTGAGCGGGGAGCCACCCAGCACAGGGCTTCACACCACTGATCACTGAAATGTCACGGTCAAGGTCACCGAGAGAAGCACAGGCAGCCAGATCTTCAGGAGCCCTGAAAGAAGAGCAATTATAGGGCCAGCGCTAGCAGGGGTGTGCTTTTGTGCAAATTAACATCAGGTGCCTCCTATATCCTGACCAATTAGCAAGGACACCTCTCTGGGCTCGTCCTAGAAAAGGAAACCTGATTCTTCACCTGCTCTGAAGACCAGTGAGAAAAAGATGCCCCCTTCAAGTGGAAAAATAGAAAAAAGTGACCTCCGAGGTGGACTACTTTGAAAAAGGCAGTCTCTCCTCTGGCACTGAGCACTAGGGCACTCTTGTGCAGTGTCCAACCTATTCAACCATCCGTAGAGACCCTGGGGGATATTCACAGAGGGCCAGCGTCTTAGGAATATCATTACTCTCTAGTTGTGAGCTCACTTGTCTTGACTGAACCAGCTCAGGACAAACTCCAGGATGGTGTAACAATCCCCTGGATCTGGGCGCCAGGAGCCAAGAAAGGCAACGGTTGCATGGAATTTCAGACAGTTTAGGAGCTGTGAAAAATCACAGGCCATAAAAATGTCACCAGTTCCTGCTCTTTGTGGTTTGAGAAGACAAGAGTCAGAGAAACCAAGTTTCTTGTTTGCCTGATGTGCTCACCCTGAACTAAGCGTGGTTTTTGGCACTTAATGGACCTCAACAAATATTTGTCACCTGTTGAGCAAATTCTGAAAAAGGCGTCTGAGGGGATGCGAGTAGAGCACACAGGTAGAGCCCCAGGCCTGGACATCACCACAGACAAACCGCCTCTTTTGAGTTCGCCCCAGCCAGGCCAGCCCTTCAGTACGCTGCGGGCTGAGACAGAGCAGTGCTCTGGAGCAGGTCCCTGTGCAGAAAAGGCCTGAACTTACCCAAGCTGCTGGAAGCGGCCCTCGAGACTGTGGCCTGGACACCTTTGGGGGGAAACAGAAGGACCCGTGAAAAGGGAAGGCACAAAGCTGGCAGGAAGCCGGAGCCAGTACCCTTCCCTCTATCCTTCTTGCAGGCAGAGGGATCTTGCTGAAGCCCAAATCTGATCACGCCCCTCCTGTGCTTTGGAGCCATCAGGGCCTCCCCAGCGCTTTCAGCAAAAAGGCTGAAGACCTTAGCAAGGGCCAGAGGCTCGCACTGTCTGGCTTCACCTCACCGTCAGCCACCCCACACTACTTCCAGACTGCCTGGCCTTCCCTCAGTCCCCCAGCAGGCTGGGCCCCTCCTACCACAGGCCCTTTGCCCTTGCTATACCATCTGCCTGGGATTCCCTCCCGCTGCTCCCCCTTTCCTGTCCGCTCTTGGTTGATGCCACTTTTACTTTCCAAATCTCCGCCAAATTTTTCCCCAACCCCCCAGACCAGGTCTGGTTCCCTTGTCATCAGAGCCTCTGACATTTTCGTTGCTGGCTAGGCAGGATTATTTGAAAACATCTCCCCCACTGATCTGTGAACTCCACGTGCCTCTGCTGGTCGCAAGATCTCCAACCACCAGTACCAGTTCTGGTGTGCAATGGGCACAGAAAACACATCTGTGCAACAAATGAATGGATGGGAATTCACCTGCGCCCAGTTCTTTAGTCCCCAGTGAGACCCTAAAGTGCAGCTCTGTCACTCTCCCCTCTCCCGCCAGCACTCCCTGCGGGGAGCATTGAGCCAGAGCAGCTCTCTTACCTCTGCGCGTGATGGGACCCAAGTTGAGGACACGGGATTGGTCTATGAAGCCCCCACTTCGGAGTCTGGCCCCAGTGCAGCTCTGCAGGGAGGGGTGACAGAGAAAGCCTTCTGTCGGGAGGGGGAGGGAGGCTGAAAGATCCTGGCTGGGGAGGGGGCTGTACTCCTCCTTCTCCTGCCTCGGCTGAGGGCGGAGGGCGGAGGGCAGGGAAGAGTTAGAAGATCAGGTCCCAGCTCTTCCATCTGTTAGGATCGCAGACAAGCCACTTGGAATCTCTGCTTACAATCTCTCCCTGCTTAGAATTTGGGGCCAGTTTTCTAACTTCCTTATACGTGTATTATTAACGTGCTTGCAGAGTTCCTGTGACGCATTAAAACGCTAAAACACCGAGGTGCACACATGTTCCTGCAATTCGAAGATAAGCTTGCAGATAAGCCAGGAAGGCTATCGGCCAGCTGGGCATACAATCCCTGACCCTGATGTCCCAGGGCTCCGGTCTGGCTACATCCACCCCATCGTACTGCTCCTGCTGTGCCTGAGCTGCAAAAGGAAAGCACAGCAGAAATGATTGTTTTCTTGTAGACCCTTAGCCTGTGGCTACAGGAGAGGGGCAGGGCCAGCAGGCTGAAGGGGAGACTCACAGGCTTGCACTTCTCATTCACGAGGTCGCACAGATACACTTCACAGTGCAGGTAGACAAGGTCATAGTTGCCAGTGAACCGGAACATCTGGACGGAAAATCGGCCCTGAGGGGATTCCCCGTTCTCCACCACTTGAATGGTTGAGTCTGAAGTGCTCGGACATCTGGTGAGGGACAGGTTAGGTCACAGAATGCAGTTGGTTAGGCCAAGACTCTGGAGTCAGACTTCAGAGCATCACACTATCACCGACGGTCTGTATGGCCTCGACACGCTCGGTCTCTCTGTTTCTCAGTCTTCACGTCTTCCGTGGCCCACATCAAAAGATATTTATGAAGATTAAGTTAGTTAATTTTTCAAGGTGCTGAGAACAGGATGCAGCCCCTAATAGGTGCTATCTATAGTTAATGTTAAAACAAAAATAGTCACTACCACAGAACTGAAACTGTCCAATAGTCACTTTGCGATTCCCCGGGAAATGGCATTCTAGACTCACTAGCTGTGGGTATGTGCTGTCTACAATGTGCCTGTTACCACAGTGGAAACCCCAAAGAACTGAATGCTATTGACCAAACGGAAGTGTGTGTGCCCATCTGCACACATACACAAGGCACTGGGACACATGAAGACATCCTCAAAATAGTGATGCACTTACACGCGTGCACAGGGACCCAGGGGGCAAACTTGGCCCCCGGTGCCCCCTCTGCTACTTCACACCTTTTGCTCCTTTCTCAGTTCTTGCCATTGACATTTAGCCTCTCTTTGAAAGGAACTTCCAGGATGGCGTTCACCCTCTGCCCTGTGCCCTCCATAATTCAGGTCTCACCCCAAAAGGGCAAACTGATCAGCAATATAAAGTCCCTGAGGTTAATCCTCCCAAAAGGCAGACAGAGAGAGCCAACACAGTCGCGGGTGGCCCAAGCACCCGGCCCAAGCAGGGCATCCAGGTCCCTCATAGCCACTCTCTTCTCCTTTTTACACAAGAGGTGACAGTAGGGGTGACAGAAGCTCTGACCCCCTCATAGGCTGGTGGTCCTCAGTCCATCTTTCTTACACTCCTGGACCAATATGCACACCCACCCCCGAATTGCTTCCTGCTTCTTTTTCCAAACTTTCCAATTTTTCCCCAACAGGCATGCTGTACTTTTATACTCAGTGAAAACAAGTTTAAAACTTCCTGCAGAGTATCATCTATCACATCTGAGGAAATTAATATCCAGAGAGATCGGCTAATTTGCATCTCAGAACAAAGACATGGCAAAGCCAAGAACTGCATCCAGAGCTCTGCGATATCTCATCCGAGGTCAGGTCAACGTTTTCCAAGTTCCAGTTCTTTTTGCCTTATGGAGATACCACCTTGATGAATGTTTGCCATGCACCCTAGCATCTGAATTATTATTTACTTTTTCTTTTTCCCTAAATCCACTTACATTTTTTTACTGAAATGCATTTATTTTCTAGAAGAGTCTTTAGAGCATGACCACAAATGGAAATCCCATGGCCAGTATCAGTTGCCATAAATAGAACATGACCATACAAAAGACCACATGGCAAACAAGAAAATGTGATTAAATTTTAGTTAGAAGTGGTTAATTGCAAAAGGCCTCACACAGACTTCTGCTTCCTTTTTTCTTGCAAAAGGAGATGCCACATAACAGAAAGGTTTGAACATCTGATTGCACCCGGGTGAGAATTTCCCTTCAAGGATCGGAAACTCCCTTCTAGATCTGAAACTGGAATGGACAGGTCACAGCTGTCAAGGATGCTTTCTCTATTGAAACTGCAAATGTCCTTTTCCTTCTCCTGCTTTGTTTTTCCATAGTCCCTTTGTCACTAACATACTGTGTATTTCATTTCCCTTTAATGGCCAATCTCCCCTTCAGAATATAAACTGTATGGGGGAAGAGGGTTTAGTCAATAGCCACAGAATCGGGCACACAGCCGGCCTCCATGACAGCTGCTCGATTTATGAATGAAAACGTACTTTGCACAGTGTGGGTCACGACTGTTGAATGCCTCTTGATAGAAAGGGAGGGCAGCGATGTCCTCCCAGTCCCACCTGGTCCTTGGCTGACTATGCCCACCCCTCCCTCCTCCCGGCAGGGTGCCAGTCTGTCTGCTCCTCTGGCTCTGCCCTTCCATAAAGTTTCTCGCATCTTCCGAGTGAGTCATGGGCCCTCTTGGCCCTTGTACATCCGTCCTTCTTCAAATATAATGTTTTTCAATGCACACAATAAAATATTTTAAAGATTACATAGGAAACCAATTAAATTGAAGTACCTTTTAAAAGATTAAAACATTTGATATATATATTTTATATATTTGCATAGATTAGATGTAAAATATACTTGCAAATATACATATTTGATAATGCATTAAATAATAAGATCTTGTGGAAATTTTGTGTGTGTGTGTGTGGTACCGGGGATCGAACTCAGGACCTTGTGCTTGGGAGGCAGTGCTGGAAGTAGAAATTTTAATACTACAGTAACTAAGATGTTTTGAGGAGCAAAACAGTTTTACATGCCCTGCTAACCCATCTGTGGCTTATGCTTGTAAATAAGAGGGAATGCTAAATTTCAGCTAGATGGTCATGAATAGGGAGATGAACTCTTCCCTCCAAGTTCAAAGACCCCAGGTTCCCTCCATAGGCTCCCCCACAGGAACCACTGCCTTACCTGTCCTGGATAATGAAGTATTTCGTGGGGTCTGTGGCATTGCCACTGGGTGTGGCATAGCAGTTGGTCATCAGCAGTGCAAAGCGGGACAGGTCACCTCCATCCAGCATGGTGCCCACGTAGAGAAAGGCCTCGGTGGACAGTGTCACTGAGGGGCCTTGGTAGGGCTGTGTGTAGGCAGGGCTCTGGAAAAGTGCCATCCGCACAGTGAACAGGCCCGTTCCACCCACGCTGATGTTCAGGGAACTGCAGGAGAGAGGGGCTGGTGAGAGGACCCAGCTGAGAACACCCACCGGTGGCTGCCCTTTCTGGTTGACATGTCTGGACAGTCCCTTGCAATTCTGTGCATTTTTATTGCTTTGGGGTTGTGTGAAAATGCAGGTCCTGAATGAGTAGGTTTGGAGTGGGGCTCAAAGTTCTGCAACTCTCATAAGCTCTGGAGGTGCAAGTGTTCTGGGCCCACAGATCACAGCTGGAAAACATGTCCAGCGCGTCACCTGGGGCCCTTGCTTCCCTTTCAAGATGGAATAAATTCTTAGGGAGTCAACTAGGTTCCTTCCTTAGGCTCAATCTCTGGCAGGTTAAAGGAGAAAGCTACCACGAGTCAGGCAGACTTGAGTCCCAAGGCTCTGTTGTGGTTTACCAACACCTACATTAGAAGACTGGGTTTTATAAATGGGTTACTTTTAACCACATTGGAAACAGCCACACTTGTGTGGGCCTCATCAGATGGTGAAGACAGATGTCACCCAGTAAGGGACACGAGAGACGCTCGGCAACAGTGAAGTTCACTTTACAGGTGAGAAATGGATTAACAGTTTGGGCTGGGGTGAGATTTCCAGCTCAAACCTCAGACCGATTTGCTGAGAGCTGTGTTGCTCCCTGGTACCTCCCCAGTCATGGCCATATTGCTCCGGATTGCTGCCTGGCCAAGTGGCACACTGCCCGGTGGCCTGTGATGCACACCCTTCTTCCTCCAAGCCAGCCAGCGCCCGGCACCTGCCCCTGAGTCTGGCTGGGTGAGAACATGTAACCATGAGCAAGCTTCAAAGTTCAGGTCATGGCGGGCCCAAGGTTTGAATCCCAGCTCTGCCACTTTCTAGACTTAATAACTTGGGGTACGTTACCTAAACTTCTCTGAGCTTCACTTTCCAATCAGTATAATAGAAATAATAATCATCTCTCTATCTGCTAGGGCTACTGGAAGGTTTTAATGAGATGATGCGTGTGCTTAACAAGCCTGATATATAATAAGTCCTCAATAAATGCTAGATATTATTACAGCTATTATTTTTCCTGACATTAGCATCATTGGCCTATGATCTACCCCTATTCAGACTTTCAACTATATTTAGCAACAGCATCCTTTAAAAAAAAACTAATAAAACCTATAGCATGCAAAGGAGTGGAACTTCCCTACACCCCCTACCCCAACAAGGCACCTCCTTTGCTCCACTATGCACCTCCAAGCATCATAACTTGTAAATTCCTCTTTAATCAGACATCTTCATTCCAGAAACAGAGGGAAACTGAGGTTTAAACGTGAAATATGGTTTGCCAAAGACTCATAGCAAGGCAAGCCTGAGACCCCCACCTTCCCTCCAGTCCAATCCCCCACTCATCTGAAAAGCCACAGCCTCTAATATTTGATTCACAGCATTTCACAGATAAGATTGCCACCCAGTGAGGGGCTAATCCCCTTCCCAAAGCCAAATGGTTAGGACAGAGCAGAACCCAGATTTGAATCTGGGCTCCAGGGTCCCTCAGCGGGCTCAGCCACCAAACAGTGTGCCTCCCAGCGCCCACTCACAGCTCCCTATGGGTGGCAGCTGACAGGGTAACTGGGGACCCCAGGGGTGATGGGCTGTGGGGTGGAGCCGTCCAGGAGCCCTGGAGGCCCTGGTTGGCCGCACCTGACTACGGGCTGCAGGGAGGTCTTCAGGCTGACTTTCATGTCCAGGGGGTAGGAGCACTCGAAGTTGATCTTGATGTTGATGTCGCGGATGATCATCTCGTTTGCCAGATAGAGGGTGTTGCTGTAGGTGGCATGGGTTTCGTTCCTCTGTGTTAGGGGTGAGGAGTGGAGAAAGGGCCCTGAGAATCTGAGTAGGGACCTTAAAGCCAAAGCAATTGTCTCTGGCCACCCGGCAGCTGCCGTCCCAGTCTCTGTGAGCAAAAGCTGCAGCAGTGACCATTGAGGAGCCCATGTCCCAGGCCAGACCCTGAGCTAAATCTCCTCTTACACCAGGGCATTAGCCACCATGCGGTGCCCTAGGAGGAGGGTGCCACATCCCTGGACAGGGAGATGACCCAGGTTGACAGGAACTGAGTAACGGAGACCTGAGCCACCCAGGCTCCTTCCACTATGGGATGCTTCCTCTCTCCAAGCCAGAAATCCAGACGCCAAGTTATCACGAATGGAATGTCACCCTCTGTCCTTGGGAGATAACAGTGATTTCTTTCTTCCTTTCTTTTCCTTCTTTCCTTTCTCTCTGGGGAATAAAGGAGGCAAGGGAAGCTATGCTGCACTCACAAACACTTCCCTCTGGCTCCCATGAGAAAGGGCCTCTGCACATGAAGATTTCTGCCAGTTGGACAGAGCCGGCCTCCCAGAACCTCAGGAAACAACAGACTCGCTTCCCATCCCAGTGCTGACCCTGACTAGCTTGGAGCAATCACTGCTGTTTAGCCTTACTTCTCTCATCTGTAAAATGAGGAACCATCACCTCGAATCCTCCGTATTCAAAGCTGACGCTTACTGGACACTTACGATGTGCCAGCCACTGTCCTGGTCACCTCAGACACACTGACTCATTCAGTCCTCCCAACGTCTCTCTAGAGTGGATTCTGCTATTCTTCTATTTTACAGTTGAGGAAACTGAGGCACAGCCAGGCTAAAGAACCCATCCAGCTGGTAAGGGTGGACCTGAGGCTTAGCCGGCCCTGCCCACTCTGGCCAGCACATACCGTCAACACTGTCCCGCAGGGACCATCCTGGGCTGGGGTCACCACCGACATCCAGTCCCGTTCACCCTTCTCCATGAAGCCGAAGCAGCGGCTGTCACGCAGGTACATGAAGACCTTCTTGAAGCCCAGGTTCTTCAGGTGACACTTGCTCAGGGACACTTTGATGTCACTGGCCCCACACTCCAGCCTGCGCTCCAGGAGGGAGACATCTGGAAAGGCAAGGGAGGGCAGGAGTGGGGGTCTTTGTTGGCAGCTCCTGCGCCCAGTGTGTCCTCAGAAGACAGGCAGAGCTGGCTGGGTCTGCTGCCAGCTGGGAGTGCTCAGCTCCGAGCAACCCTGGCATGATCATGTCCCCACAGCACAGTGATGAGGACACGGGACTGGAGTCCCAGCATCACCAGATGGATCCAGTGGCCTCACTCTGTATCCCCCAAGAATGGGTTGTACACAAAATGCAAGATGATTTGGGGGTCCTTCACTGGTGTGGCATTGAATCCCAGTAAAGAAAAGAAAGTTAAATGCAATTCTTTCCATCCTTCCTTTGTGCATGAAGGACACATTTCTCCCTTGCTGCCTATGTCTTTAACAATGTACACTTTTTAATTTCCCTCTTTTGAGGGGCACAGGGTCTCACCAAGTTACCCAGGCTGGGCTTCAACTTGAGATTGCCCTGCCTCAGCCTCCCGGAGTGCTGTGATTACAGGCATGTGCCACCACACCTAACTTGATTTCCCTCTTAAGCAAACAGCAGGCCTCTGGCTCAGTATTTGGGACAGGCTGCAACAATCACCTAGAATTTTTTAAACTATTAAAGTATTTTTAATCTTGAGTATTTATTTTTTAAATAATTTTATTGAAATATCACAAACCGTTGGAATTTAATACCTTTCTTTTCATGTGTTCTCACAGTTAACCTAAGATGAATATTACTTGCTGCAGACAAACGTGGCAGTGACCATCAGCACCCCAAATTCTCTTAAGAGAAAGGACTCGCTCAATGTGAAGAAAACTCAGTTAATAAAAATCACAGTACAGCAAGTACCCAGATAAAGCAAAGCTGTAAAGTTGCCACTAGGATGTGACAACAATCGTGATCAAGTCAGGAAAACATCAGGCAGCTTGGCTAACTGTGCGGAGGAGGAAAGGAAGCTCCGAGGGGCAGATGCCTCGCCTGGGGCTCCGGCGGGGGAGGGGGGTCGTGTGAGCGGCGGGTGGCCTGGGAGCCTCGGGCGCCCAAGGGTCAGCCGCTGTGCACCCACTGCCCTCGGGGGCTCCGGAAGGAGGCTGGGGGGGCGCCCAGCGCCCGAGGGCTTTGGCTCGACTGCGGAAGGAAGCCCCGGGCGCTTCCTGCCAGGTTCCGTGGGTATTGGTGGCCCTCCCTCTGCACTCCCGCTGGACAGGTCCTCTGTCTCCCACCCAGGGTCCCACCCAGGGTCCCACCCGGCCGCGGGCCGCTCCCCGCCCACTGGCCTCACCCACCCGTGATGTTGGAGTCCTGTTTGCACTGGCAGTGCCATCTGCCGTTATTCGCTATGCAGTCCTCGTCCACGCCGCACTCCTCACAGGTCCCCTCCACGGAGGTGGGATCTGCAGGGTCACAGGGAGAGTCAAGAAGGGCGCGCGCGGCCCCAGCGGCGCCATGCGGCCTTGGGGTGGGGAGCGTGGCTCTCTCACCTGTGCAGTAGGCCAGGTGGCACTCGGGGGGAGCCGTCAGGTTGTAGACGTAGTAGCCGCCGGCGCAGGCCTTCAGCTGCACCCGCGTGTCCCACCTGCAGCAGTGGCCGCTCCAGTGCGCGCAGGCCGTGCGGCTCACGATGCCCTCGTCATTGGACGGGTGAGTGCCGTTGAGCCACAGGGGCGCCGCCGTGCTGCAGCGCTGGACGGGCACGCAGGTGTCGGCCATGCGCACACCGCCCTGGCCCACGAAGCGGTACCAGCCGCGCAGGTCCGAGTCGCAGGAGTAGCCGGCGCCGTACTCCGCGCTGCGCCAGTACTGGTCCAGGGTGCGGTACGCCTGGCACGGGTCCGCGCACACCAGCGCCCCGTGCTCGCCCGCGGGCACGCAGTCCAGCCCCCGCCCGCAGGAGCCCGGGGAGCACTCGCAGTGCCGGCCGTCCCCCGCGTAGCCCTCGGGGCACACGCACGAGTAGTTGCCGTCCAGGTTGACACAGGAGGCCAGCGGGTGGCAGCCGCTGAGCCCCGGCTCCGAGCACTCGTCCACGTCGGTGCAGCCCAGGCCGGGCGTCAGCAGGAAGCCGTCGGGGCACACGCACGTATAGGAGCCCAGCGTGTTCACGCAGCCGCTGCCAACCGAGCAGTTGTGCGCCTCTGGGGTGGCGCACTCGTCCACGTCCACGCACTCGAGCCCGTTGCCAGAGAAGCCGTCTCGGCAGGAGCACGTGGTGACAACCCCGTCCTCTATGCAGGTGGCGTTGCTGTGACATTCAGAGCACCTTCCTGAGGACAGAAGGAAGCCTGGGTGGCTGAACTAAGGACCATCCGGAGAGCCCTCCTGCCCCCAAGGGAACTCATGTTCTTTACGCCTCATTCCCTAGCTGACTCCCACCCAAACCAATCTGCCACCTCCGCCAAACATCCAAGCCTCGGCCATTCCTTCTTCTATAGGAAGCATTGCTTTCAAGTTGTGTCCTTTCCAAAATATCCACATTCCCACAGCCAGAGAGCAATGCACAGAATTCCTTAGCTAGGATTTGTGGCACTGTGTCTCCTGCTCACAGCCTTTGCACACCTATACCTCCTGCAAGGTCATCTCCCCTGCCTGCTGAGTCCACCTCAAGACCCTACCCAATGTCACCTGTCTCTAAGGGGCCCCCAAGTCCACCTGGCAGGGCCTGGTATTTTGATCCTCCGCAACAAAAATAACAGAAGAAAAAGAGAGCGAGAGAGAGCTATTGTTCAGTGAGCATTTGTGATAATGCCGAGCGATGGATGCACATTTCATTATCTTGTTAAATAATTCCCAGTGGCCCCTTGAGATCAGCTTTCAGTCATCCTTATTTAATTTTATGTATGTATGATGTATTTAATGGTACTGGGGGTTGAACCCATGGCTTCTGCTCTGAGCTATATCATCAGCCTTTTTGTTAAAGCCCCACTGGGGATTGAATCCAAGCCCTTCATTCACACTGAGCTACACTCTCAGCTGTATTAATTAATTAGTTTCTTTTTGACATAAAATCTTGCTAAGTTGCCAAGTTACCCAGGGTGGGCTGGAAGTAGCAGTCCTCTGGCCTCAGCCTCCCACTGTGTTGGGATTACAGGCACGCACTACCACGCCTGGTTATTTATTCTTATTTTAAAGAGGAAGAAACTGAAGTGCAGAAAGGATGAAGTCATTTGCTCATTGGGCAAGTCATTCTGGTGTCAGGGCGCACATGTAGATGAGAGGTCTCGAGTGTGTGTGCTTTTAACCACGGCCCCACGATGGTGTTTACTATCCCCAAGGGCTCCGGGGAGAGGTGCTAAGCAGAGTAAGACCAATGCTCAGCCCACTGGAACAGCCTCTTCGGGATGAAAGGGGAGATGTTCCAGAGCCACCCGGTGGGTTTCAATCTCCTGTTCCAGCTCCTAGCTCCTGACTGTCCCGGGAAGCGCTAGAGGGCCTGACAGCTGTTCTAGCCCCTTCCTTGCCTCTTATGTGTGGCCCGAGGACCACAGCATCAGTGACACCTGGGACCTTGTTAGAAATGCAGAGTCTCAGGCCCCACTGCAGACCTTCTGAGCCAGAATTTACATTTGTGCAAAATCTCCAAGTGAGTCGCACGCCCAGTGTAGTCTAAGAAATGGACGTAGAATGAAGACTGTGTGAATAAAGGCGAGGGCTAAGACCTGCCTCTGACGAGGGGCCTTGAGTCCCCGCACACGCGCACACGCACACACGCGCACACGCGCACACACACACACGCTGCTTACTCGCTTCAGAGGAGGGCTCATTGGCTGCAGCTGTGAGGCTCCACGAGGTCACCACCACCACTGCCACCAGCATCCAGCTCCGAGACAGTGGCCGCCCCATGCCTTCTGCACTTCACAGCTCCTTGCAGTCCTGGGCACAGAGTCCAAAGGCAAGGGTGGTTGGCCCAGGCACTTCCTCCCTGTTTCTGATGCTGAATCCCTGTGGACAGAGACAGACGGGACAAAGGTGCATGGTCTAACCCTGCGCACAGTTGGGAAGGATGCTTTGGCTCTACATCGTACAGCTCCAGCCGTGGCCATTTGTATGCATGCATTGCACAAAAAAATGTGCAGTGCAGCAGCCATGACTTTGCTGGGGTTTTCTCCATGGTAGCCACATAGTTACTCCCACCCATATCCCATCCCTTTCTCCTCAAGTTTCAGGGCACATTTTGAAAAGCTGAGTCTCTTATTTGGAGCAGGAAGTAGGAAGATAGGGTAGCGTTCCAGATTCGCTATCTTATTAGAGGCAACTTTGGATTTTAACAACTCTTAATCCTCTGCCTGGAAACTTTCAACTTGCCTGGATCCATTTATTCATTCATCAAACACTTTTTGAGCAGCTACGATATGCCAAAGAGGGAGTTGGGTGTGAAGGAGAACTATGAATACAACCGAGTCTGTGTCTTCATGCAACTCACATGGTGTACAGAAATGGCTTGAGATAAGCCACTCAGCAGGCAATTAACCTGTGCGACATTTGCAACACACCTTGGTGTTTCTAGAGTGATTACTTACTTCTCCCAATTGGTAAACTAACCCTAAGTGGGAGCTGGTAATACCCCCTTACCACAGCAACAAAAGAGAGTGGTGGTTAAGTGAGAGAGGGCTGAACTGTGCCTGCACCCCAGATCCAAAGCCCTGTGTTACCAGTCTCTAGGTATGACATTGGGCAAGGTGTTTTCATTCACTGACTCAGTTTTCTCATCTATGAAATGGCGACTGTTGCTTCCAGAGACTGAGTGTCCAAGATGTGCCAGGCTCAGTCCTGAACAGTACCTGTGCTCCAGTACTTGTATTCCAGAGCGATATTTTCTAGACCTTTGTGACTAACAGAAACTATATGGGGAACACTTTATGTCATGATCCAGTGCAGTTGTCCATGCATGTGTATGCAAATACATACACACACGGAATATAAGTTGTATAAGACAGTCCTTATCCTTACGGTGTTATTGCCTGCTGACACATCCTATTCTATTTAATGAAAATAAATTTCTACCTGTAAACCACAAATGGAATGATTTCATGACACACTCATGAGCTGTGACATACCATTTTTAAAACACTGTAGCAGATAGTAACCTACTATATACTGCTGTCGCTGGAACTGATTAAGACAATGCATACAAAGCAGGACCAACACTTTGGTTCATTGCTGTATTCCAGTCTCTGATACACAGTTGATGTCTAATCAGTAGTCACTGAATACATGAAAAATAGTAGCCACTATTAATTAGAAAGCTTTGGTTCAAAGTGAGGGAGACTGACTTGCTACAGTGCACAAAGCTGATAATCAGCAGAGGAATGACTCGAATGCAGCTCTGACTCAAGTCCAAATTCTTCACTTTCTTCCCACTTCCCTCAAATACAGTGGGAGCCACAGAAGAATAGAGAGGGGAGAGACTGGGCCAGGAGAGGACAGCTACACACAGCCTTACCTGAAGCCAGCAGGGTAGGGCCGGATCGTTCTCAAGTGGACACTTCTTACAAATATATACACGCTGGCCCCTGGCTAGCAATTTGTCCTCCAATTATCCTCTGGGTCTGTTTCTTGAGATTGTTTCCTTGGTGGGGGGGAATTTTCTTTCTCCTTTGGGCATAATGTTTCCTTTATCCTTTTTTTTCCCTAATAGCTGGAGACACCAAATGATTGACATTGGGGGTCATGCCTGTGCCTGCAAATACAGGTCTCTGTTTTGCACATTTTGGCACCAAGAGATTCCTTAGTTAGACATTAACTGGGAAGGCAGTGCCAATGTGCTGGGCTTTTCCTTGGTCACTGACAAGGACAAGGTGGACCCAAAGAGTCAAGCAAATGGCCACATCTGAAGCCAGGCTGCATGAGGGGGAAAGGGATGTCCATTCCCCTTCCCAGGCTGTGTGCCTGTCCTGGGAGGGCACCCTTCTGAGACATCCTGTCCTCCCCACACTGTGCCCTCTGCTAGGGTCCAGAAGGAAGCCAAAGAGGTGCTGAGAGCTGCCAAAAGTCTGAACCAGAGGACAAGTCAGATATCTGGGGACTGGGCAGTCTTTTTAGGGTAATTTTGCAGGAGTGAAATGTCTGGATCAAAGAATATTGGTACCTCACCCCAAACCACCCCACAGAGACTTAAAAATTAGCTTCCTATCCCATCATCCACAGTACTTAGCAGCTCTGAGCATTGCTTCTTTCATCTTGGCCAACTTTTTATCATTTGGACCAGAAAGTTAAATGAAGCCCAAGCCTGATGGCGCAGGGCTGAAATCCCAGCACTCTGGGAGGCTGAAGCAGAGGAGTTTGAGCCCAGCCTGGGCAACTTAATGAGTGAGCTTGCAAGCAAGACCTTAGTAAATAAATAAATGCTGGGGATGTAGCTCAGTGAAAAGGCCATTGGTTCAATCTCAGTACTAACAAACAGTAATAATAATAACAATTATTAATAATAGTAATAAATGAGAAGTTTCTCACTGTTTTTGATTTTTGCAATTGTTTGATGAAAAGGGATGTTGTATCATCTCCTCGGGGGGTTATCATTTATTCTTCTTCCTGGAATTGTTAGTATCCTGTGGCTTTCTCAAGAGGCCCCCTCTAGACCCCAGTCTGGGTGAATGTAAGGGATTCGAAGGAGGCGATTCCACGTGGCTTCCTGGGTTTTCTGGGCAAAGCCTCATATAGAATAATGGGGAGTTCAGGCTGGGCCCCATCTATAAGGGTCACTGTGTTCCGGTTTCTGGTTTCTGCATTTGATGCTGCACATCTTGCTGGGAATAATAAGACTTTCGTGTGAAAAGCAGCCACCCTGGAGCCCACACCCCAGCACCTGCCTCCAGACGGCCTTTCACAGAAGGCCCTTGCTCCCACCACGCCAAGGGACCAGCCAGAGCCTGGAAACTGGGCTCAACTTTTGTGTCCCAGAGCCCAGGATGAGACCTGACCAATCCTAAACCTGCCCACTGTGAAAGCCACAGTGAAGGCTTCTGCCACCGTCCCCCTTGCTCCCTTTGCTCCCAGGCCCACCTGGTCCTTTCCCCTGTGCCTGGCCCCATTCCCTTGTCCTCTGTGTCGAGTCCCCTTCTCTTGGGATCTGTGAGTATCACAGCCATCTTTTCAACATCGATGTTCTCCTGCCCTGCTGGCCTTGAATGCCTGAATCATAATGAAGTCTATACTTAAAGACAGGAAGTGTCACCTTCCCCAGCCGAGCCCATTGCCCTGCAGTGTCTCTAGTGGGCCATGTCGCCCTTGTTCCTAAAGCTTCCTACCTTCTCTCCAGCCACACCCATTCGATGACCTCATGGTCTGCTTCGGGAGAGCCCCAGAGTGACAGTGCCCTCTTCTCAGTGAACCTGCTCCTCTCTCCTGAGTCCTCCTCCTGTGAAAGCCCCTGTCTTTCTTCCCAGGTGCTCTGATGGCATTTTCCTCCTCTCCTTCTTCCTCTACCCTTCTACCCTTCCTCCGCTGCCCTCACTCTATCCCACTCCCCTGGACTCTTCCCATCTGCTAACCACTGCTATAAACATGCTCCTTTGAATATTCTGTTTCCTGCCCTGTTATTTTCTGTAGCCACATTTCCAGGAAACTTGACCCATACCCTCTTCAGCTCACGCCAATATGCTTTCTGAAAGGCCAGCTCCACAGACAGAGCTCATCAAGACCGTCAGAGATGTCCAAGGTGCCAAAGATGATCAGTACTTTTTATCTCAACTTCCAGGGAAGTGCTCAAGAAATATTTATGAATGAATCTTACTTAACCTTTTGAAACATTCTTCTCAATTTTCAAACAGGTGTGAGAGACTGGATCATAATATTCATTGACTCAGCCATTTTGTACCGAGTCCTTCTCTTGTGTCTAACTCTGCTTTTACATCCTCGGCTCAAAAGACAAGACACAAACACTCATGTTACAGAAGAAAAGACTGAAGTTCAGAGAGGTTGAGTAACTTTCCCAAGATTACACAGCTAGTTAGTACTAATGCCAGAATGAAACCCAAATCTCGCTTAGATTCACCCGTATGATACACTGCACTCCTTGGAGGTCAAGAACTTTCCATGCTCGGCCATGGAAGGGCCTTAGAAGGGCAAGTAGTGTGGAAGTAGAGCTAAGGGGTGGAGGGATGTGGAAAATTGATCAGACAGAACACAAGGAGTTAGAAAGAGAAGTTAGTGTCTTGGAAAAGGGCAAAAAATGAGCCAAGGGAAAAGACTTTTCCAACAGAGGGGACTGCCTGTCCCACCTGCCTGCAGTGCTGCCCCCTACTGCACTCGGAGGCTCTGCTCACACCTGCATGGCCCAGAGGCAGCATACCTGCACTCAGGCTCATGGCCTTTCAGGTGCTCCTTTCCATGTGATTTAGCCTCATCATAATGTGGAGGCAGGTGAGTCTTGCTCCGTGTCCTGAATAGTAACACCTGCCCTGCCTGGGCATGTGGTGCCAGAGATTTCTAGGGCCCCAGGCTGTTCTCTGCTTCATCTGGATGTGGATAGGTCAGGTTTGGGGAGTGTGGCATGGGAACTGGCTCTGGAGGTCAGAAAATGCACAAACAGCCTTTGCCTTACATAACTGGTGGGAAGTGGAGAGACCCAGATAGTTCCCTGAGAACACAGTGGTTAGAATAATACCCCTTCCTCCTTTCCTTGGGAAGTTCTGTTATTACCTGGCTGGAATAAATGATGCAAATCAGCAGTGTATGGCAGGATGACTAGTGACCCCCAAATACATCCATATCCTAATCCCTGGAACCTGTAAATATCGCCTTCCTGGACAAAAGGGACTGTGTAGTTGTGATTAAGCTGAGGAGCTGGAGATAGAGAGGTTATCCAGGCAGATTACCTGAAGCCACCATGGTGCTTATAAAAAGGACGCAGGGATAATCAAAGTTAGAGGAATTAGGAGACATGAGGATGAACCCAAAGCTCAGGGTGAGTCCAGGAAGGAACTATGAGCCAAGGAATACAGGTGTTCCACCACTGAGCTAAATCCCTGGCCCAAGAAGGAGGATTCTTGCAGAAAGGAGTAGCTCCGTTAACACTGTGAATTTAGCCAGTGAAACTGATTTTGTATCTCTCAGACAGAGGTTGCTGCCTGATATGGTTTTATTTGGTCTGTGGACATTTATTGAGCTTCTACTATGTACCAACCAGAGTCCTAGGCATGAGGAATACAGTAAGGAAAGGGGAAGCAGGCAATATGCAATTGCATAACAAAATAACAAGATGTTTTTAAATATTAGTATCCAGGAGGGCCTCTTGGAGGTGCTAACATTTGAGCTGAGATCTGATTGAAAGAACACAGCTGTGTAAAGATCTGGATGTGTTTACTCTGGAGGGAGGGTATTTAGGCAGCGGGAACAGCCAAGAGGACAGGGAGCATTTGGTTTGTTCAAACAGACAGGCAGTGTTGCTGGAATGCAGAAGGAGAGAGAAAGAGAAGAGACCTGCAGGGCTAGGCATTTCAGGCCTTGTAGACATAGTAAGCAGACAGGATTTTGACTTAAATTCAGTGAAGATGTCACTACATCTCTACTGACGGGTTAAAACAAGATGGGGCATACGCTGTCATAGCTATGGTTTTTTAAAAGATCCCTCCAGCAGTTGTATGTCAGGGGGTCAAGGGGAGGTGTAGAGTGACAGAAGAGCGATCAATCGTGAGACTTCTGCAGCTGAGAAATGATGGGCGACTGTCCGTGGAGATGGAGGGCAGCGGGTGGAGTCATGTGGACTGGCAGGTCCGTGAAAGACCACTGGAGAACGATCCTGGCATGGTTCCTTGAACGCGTGGGTCATTTACTGGGATGTGGAAGTCTAGGGATGGGTTTGGAGTTGGATCTCTTTCTTGTTGTGACAAAACTCGGCGTCAACCAATCCATTCACCTCCTTTAGATGAACCGTGGGCCCCTAATCTGGAAAGAGGTGACACCCACAGTGGTCAAGCACACAGCCTCAGAGTGCAATGGTGTGGGATCCAGCTCAATGGCTCTCTAGCTGGAGAGTCCTGACTGGCTGTTTAACCTCTCTGTGCCTCAGTTTCCTCATCTGCAAGTGGGGATAAAGAACCCATTCTCCAGTGATGTTACAGAACTAGATGAACTCATTATGTGTCACTGTTGTGACTTCCCTTGCAGGTGTGGCAGACTTCCAGGCCAGATAGCTCTCCTAAGGCAGCACCTACTGGGAAAAGAGGTAATGAATAAAACAGAGCCAAGGACATTCAGGAGATTTACTCCCCAGCCCCCACCCACCCCACCACAATGAGGGATAATATTATTGGAATAGAGCCACTCAGTAATTATCCCAGGACCTGAAATGTGGGCCCCTTCCCTCCTGCCCTTGGAGAAGCTAAAGTTCTTCCTTGACTTTAAATTTCTTCTCTCTTCTTGGGGGTCTTTTTTGCTTAGCTGCCTCTTCCTCCTTCTCAGATCTTTTCTTCTGCCTCACCAGCACCTCTACCTCGGTCACATCCTCCTGCTCTGGCAGCTCTTCCACTGGCATTTCCAGCTTGGTCTCGTCCTCCTGTTCAGGCAGCTCTTCCACCGGTGCCTCCACCTTGCACATGTTCTCCAGCTGCTCAGGGAACTGCTGCCCAGGTAACTCTGGCTCCATATAAGTTCTTCCTTCTTCTTCCTCCTCCTCTTCCTCCTCCTCCTCCTCCTCCTCTTCTTCTTCTTCTTCTTCTTCTTCTTCTTCTTCTTCTTCTTCAGCTAACACTCCCTCTTCTATCATTTCATTTTGCTCAATGGACAGTAGCTATTAAAGAAAAGATGGTGGAAAGAAGAGAGGGAGAGGAAAGGGGATAATGAAATGAATTGATCATTGTGATTGTGACTGTCAAGGCTCTTCTGAATGTGCCCAGAGAAAATCAGTCTTTGGCTTGAGCATTCTCATAGATACAAAAGGTCCCACCTGGGTTGGGGAGTAGAGTGTCCAGTTATGCTTTTGCCTTTTGGTAAAAGGATCTCTGGGGAGTCACCTTTCTCTTACTCTAAATCCACAGGTGTGGTTGCTCAAATCCTACCTCTAGGATTGGGCAGGTGACTCGGGCTCAGCTAGTGAGGTCCCCACCCAAGGCACATACTAAGATACTAAGTAGTGGTGATTTCATAGCTGGGAGGACATTGGTTGGGAGCTATGGGGTGATCCTTGACCTACTATGGGGAAGTGACTGCTTGAGAATGAAGACAACATAGAAGAACCAGAGATGAGCAAATTTGAGCTTCTGGATCCACCCATGTCTGATGTTCTACTAGTTGTGTTGGATAAATTCCCCTTGTTGCTTAAAGAGAAAGGAATGTCATTGACATTTGTGGCAGAAATCCAGGTAGCACCTTCCAGAAGATGGTCTCACTGAGGCAGGGTTCAGGGGAAGAGGGCCTTGTGGGCCTACTCATCAGGAGAGGGCAGAGTCCCATCAAGACATCTGGTTGCCAGTTCAGGAAAGTGGACCAAGGGACCACAGCCTTAGGAGCTGGGCATTACCTTAGAGCCTTGGCCTTCCGGTATTTCTAAAGTCTGCCATTTCTACTTCCTCTTAGTAAATGCCCTGAAAATAAAAGTTGCTGGTAAAGCCACACAAACATGAAATTATGGAACTCTTGGCACATGTGTGTCTAGTCCTTTCAGTTCCTGGCAGTTCTGTGGGGGAGAGAATAAGCCAGCATGGTGCCTCAGATCCTTACCTCATCCTCATCTTCAGTCCTGATCTTGACTTGGCTTTCCAGGAAGTCGGAAATGCCCTGCAGGGTGTGCTCTCCTGTATATGGTACAGCCTAGGAAGAGCACAGAGTATGGTTAGAATGGGAGCCTCGTCCTGCGAATCACTCATGGATTGCAGCAAAGATCAAACCAGGGCTGAATTCCTAGCCACCTGAGTATTTTGGGCAGATTTCTTAACTTCTCTGAGCCTCATTTCCATGACTGTAAAATAAGAATACTAAATAGTTTTCCATCATAAGGTTGCAATCTTGTGGGTTTAGTGTGGACCCTAAAAGCCACCCACCAGGCTTTAGGCAAAATTGCATTGCTCATCAGTGTGACTGGCTTAAGGAACCTCTCTGACTCAGTTTCCTTGTCTGTAATATGGAGACAATATCAGTACTTATGTCACGATGTTGTTATAAATATGAAACAAGCTAACATATCAAAAGTGCTTAAAACAAGGCTTGGCTTGCAGTAGTACTATACACTTTGCCATCATCATCATCATTACAGTGCTATAATAAGAATAGTCATGTATGTATGTACCGTATGCATGTATGTTTGAGATGGCATCTCCCTATGTTGCCCAGGCTGGCTTTGAACACCTGGCCTTAAGCAATCCTCCTGCCTCAACTTCTCAAGTAGACGAAACCATAGGCACCCAAGCCACCAAATCCATTTACTTTATAAAGAACCTTGCACATGGTTGATGCTCAGTCATCAAGGTTCTCTCTCACTTTTGATCTTGGGAAGGTTAAGAAGCTACTTACTGCCCGCTGGTTGCCTAAACTTGTTTTTTAGATAACTTAAGATTGGTGACTTAGCCTCATCCTCCATGAACAACTCATACACATCTCCTGCACCGAGAGGCTGGCATCAGCACAGTGCTGTGCTCCTCCTTCTCCCCACCTCTTTGCTCACACTATACCTCCTACCTGTGGTTCAAAGACCCTCTTTTAATCTGATTTAAATCCTTACCATTCTTCAGAGTCTCAGGAATGCAGGATGACTTGGACCACATCTGCCTTCCAAACCCACTCTTCCCCTCCGTTCCCATTGCATTTAGAGATGAACCCATGACTTCTCCCTCATGCTTATGACATGCTTCTCAGAAGTAGGGACTTTGGCTCATGTTTCCTTGGTTGACATTGTCCCCCACATACCAAAGTGGCCTGGAGAGTCTGTTCAATCAGCACTGGTAAGGTTGGTCAATAGCTGTAATCCCAGTGTGTGAGAGGCACGGTTGTCTCTAGCACACATTTTCTCTTTCCCAGATCTTCCCATGGACACTGCCCCCAGCTCATTCCATGTAGATGGGGCAGCTCCTTCCCTAGAAGGAGGCACATAACCCAAGACCAATCAAAATATCCACATCCACTTGGCCACAGTGATTGGGTCAGGAATGAGTGACTGACCTAAGCTGTACACAGTATATATAGTGGGTCTTAGCACTTTAGTGGAAGCCACTGAAAAATAATCTTTGAGCTTGAACAAGAGAGCATACTGGAGACTGGAGCTGAGACTGAAGCTGGTTTGGTAGAAGGCAGAGCTGGTGATTGGGAGAAACCAAGTCCCCGATAATAATATCACAACATTTTCAACTGTGAGTCCCAAGAGCCTCTCACCTGTTCAGAGTCGGTGGGGAAAAGCCTGAAGAAAGGGTAGCGGTCTGGGTTCTTCAGCTGGATGTCATTGGCTGTGATGTCAATCTTGGCGATGGTGACTGTGGTGTGGTTTTGATACTTCCTGCCCAACTCCTCCAGCAGTGGGAAGAGCACCCTGCACTTCTCAGACCAGGGTGCATCTGGAAGAGAAGGGTCTTGCTCAAGGGACTCTGAAAGCCAATCTTGTTCCCTCGGCACCATTCTTCTGTTCTCATGGCATGGCTGCTTTGCAAATTATGCTCTCTTTTATTCATATATTAGTTTATTTTTACATTTTAGCTATAGCACATGATCACTGTTAAATAAACTAGAAAGAAAGCTGAGTAAGGTGGCACACGCCTGTAACCCCAGCACTCTGGGAGGCTGAGGCAGGCAAATTCCAGGTTCAGGTCCAGAAAGATAGGGAGACTTTATCTTAAAATTAACAATTTAAAAAGGCTGGGGATGTAGCTCCATAAAAAGGCCCTGGATTCAATCCCCAGTACTGTAAGAGACAGCCAAAGAGAGAGAGAGAGAGAGAGTGTGTGTGTGTGTGTGTGTGTGTGTGTGTGTGTGAGAGAGAGAGAGAGAGAGAGACAGACAGACAGACAGAGACAGACAGAGAGAGAGAGAAAGAGAGACAGACAGAGAGGGAGCCCAGGGATTTTCCAATGGAAGTTAAGCTCCTTGCCCCAGGGATTTTCCAATGGGGATTGGGCTACTTGTCCAAGGTTATCCAATAATTAGCAGAGGAAATAGGATTTGAAGCCAGGGTGCTTTGACTTGTAACCATCATATACAAATGTAACATAACATAAAATAATAAAACATAATATGCCTTTCAGTCCCTTGGAGGAGAACAGCCCCATGAAGGAAGCAGGTATGCCTGAAAATACGATATGGCCCCTGGAAATTGGCCACGGTACTTTCTCGGGGACCATTCTTGGGGCTCTGAGTGTGGCAGGCTCCTGGCCTCCATAGCTCCACAACCCGAGGACACCCGATGTCACCTGTACTCCGAGCTCAGCCTCCGGCTCTGTGCAGAGCACCCTGACATTACCTCTGCACAACACCCTGCCCCCTTACAATCCAAGTGCCTCCCTGACTGCCCTCCTGCCACCAGCACCCCAGAGCCCCTGGAGTCCTGCAGGCCCTGGGTGGAACAGGAGGGGTCACAATGGCTGCAGCTGCAGGGGGCCAGTGTGACAGTCCTGCTTCCAAGAAAATGAGGTTATTTTGCCTTTTATCAGAACAAGATGGATGTTCTCTGAACTCTGGGTGCCAGAGCCATGAGAAAGGCGGTGCCCAGCCCTCGTTTAAAGCCAGTGCATTGCAGTGATTCACCTGCCCAGACCTCACCTGTCTCGCTCCGAGGAAAAGAGTCCTTCTGAGCGAGACTGTAAAAGGCCTGCAGGGTGCAATCAATCCGAGACGGCACAGAGCATTCGCTAAACTTTTGGCCTTGCTACTCACTGCGTGGCCTGGGGTAAGGGAAAGGGGCTCTCTGAGCCTGGGCTCTCTGACCTGTAGTGTGGGGAAGGCTGCCATACCTTCCTCATAGGCTTATGGCTGCCACCTTCCACCAAACTCACGGCCATTGCTTGTTAAATGGCAGCTCTGCCTGTTAAAATAAAAGATGCCTGGAGCAACTTCAGAGCCCCTTCCCCTGCATCCCATTGTGAAACAGGAGGCATTTGGCTTTGGTTTTAATGCATGAACCAGAAACTGTAGGAAGGACAATACCTCTTAGGTGAGCACTAGAAATAATTATAGCGACAGGAATGAAAAACAACAATATGAGTTGGCATTTATCAAGTGTTTACAATATGCCAGACACTGTGCCAGACAGTTTACAATATGCCAGACACTCCCTTACACGAAGGGTTTGGGTCCCTGCCTGAAAATGGGCCATTGGGTAAGTCATACAGAACCCAAAAGCAGGGGAGTTCCGGACAGCAGTGTGAATCACACTGCCTAGGTTCAAACTCCAGTTCCAGCACTTACTAGCTGTGTGGCACTGGAGAAATTCTTCCACCTCCCTAGACTCTGTTTAGTCCTCTGTAAATTTGAGGGATAATAGCTACTTCCAAAAGCATGACTGAGGACTAAATGGGGCAAATGTGCAGTGGCTCAGCCTGAGGCATCCAGTCAAACAGCCGTGGGCATTAATAATATTAATATTGTTATAAAGAGCTACAGGCCTGGATTATGTGGAAAGCATTCCATACATTCTAAGAATTAGATTTCAGGGAAGAGAGTTGCATAGAGTAGCTGATAGCATCATTTTTTTTTTCAGTACTATGGGTTGAACCCAGGGCCTTCACACTGAACTATCTCTCTTGCCCTGTTTTAAATTTTTTTTATGTTGAAGGAGGAACTCATTTAAGTTGCCCAGACTGGGCTCCAACTTGCAACTCTCCTGCCTCAGCCTTCCAGAGTGATAGGATTACAGGAGTGCTCACAGCACCTTGATCCAAGCTCTGTGAGTGTCTGCAGACCATCCTTGGCTTGGTGCATTGATGGGTTTTGGAGACAACAGTGCCCAAGAATTCAGAAATGACCTCTGAAAAGTAATACTGGGGCCCTTGGCCTCCCCTTGCGTCTATGGAACTACTTACAGAACATCACGAACACATCCCTTTCCTTGTCAAAGACAACTACATTGAAGTTCTTCCCCACAAGCTGCTTAACTAGACCTTGGTCCCAATAGTTTGGAATCTCTTCACTGGATTGATGTTTCTAGGAAGCAAAGTCAAGAGGTCTAACAATGTCCAGAAAGGGACTCGAACCTGGGGCTCCCACCCTGATGGGAAACCACGGAAGTCTTTCTCTTGTCTTTTATGGAGACTTTGGGAAAGAATTTGAGATGAATCAAGAGCTCGATGTCAGCCCTGGATTGTCCAGGGCAAGTTGGAGGAAGAGGAGGAGGAGGAAGACCCCTGGCCTGAATTAGCCAAATTCAGATACATGATTCTCAGGATTCTTAGATGGGAGCAGAGCTCAGGACTTTTGCATGTTAACTACTGCAGTTTTTAAAAAGCAGGTGGCCCCAATTACTCTGAGAATCAAGACCAAGATCTTTTGCTGGACCCAGGACACCTTTACCACACTGGTTGCTGTTGGCTTCTCCAAGTTCATCACCGTTCTTACCTTTGTTTTCTGTAGGCTCGTTGGGCTTCAGTTGGCCCCAGAGACTCTTTTTCTCACCCTAAAACTTTGTCTATGCTGTCCTCTCTGCCTGGAAGGCCTCCCTCAAACTTCCCCACCTTCTTTGTCTAGTTAACTGAAACTTGATCCTTCGGAATGACCTCAAAGGAAGACATCTTTGACTCTCCCCAACACTGGATACTTTTCCTTGTATCACTTATAGAAATGTATCCTTTATATTTGTTTTTCTGGTTATTTGATTAATGTGTCTTGACTACACTAAAAGGCATGTCATAAAGGACTTTTTTCTTCTCTCGTCGAGTATCTGCTTCTTGTACATAGCAGAACCTCAATAAATGTTTTGCAGATGAATGAATTCAGCTCTTGCTTCTGTTAGAGGACATGCTGGAAATCTCAGACCACTTTTCTCTATAACCATCACTTCCTGGATATCTCTTGAATCGACACCCTTCTCTCTATTTGCTGGGTGACCACCACCTGGTCCAGGACCTTCATCTCTCATCTGGATCACTGGCGTCACCTCCCTGCGTTTCCCGCCTAATCTTCACTACACCTTTATTTTCTACAAGCAGAGCTGTTTTCACCGCAGAAACCTATCTTCAAATTGCTGTTAAGATCCCAAATTTTTAATATGTTTATAAAGCCCTTGAGGTCTGACCTCTGCTCAGCTCACTGGTCTCTTCTCTTACGGTGTCCACCCTTAACCCCACCCAGCCTTTGGAAAGGACTTAAAAGTTTCCTTCAGTGGGAGCATAACAGGGGTGGCAAATGAGGAGGCCCCAATATGCAGATTTCTCTTTTCTTGGTGATAGATGAGTAGAGTGAAAGTAGAAATGGGATAGGAAAATAAATAGACTCTGAGATCAAAAAATTTATAGAATTATGCTGGGCTGTTTCTGAGTCTGGAGGCAGTGTGGTTTGTGACTCCATGAAGTCAGCCAACCTCATAGTGACACACTTTCCCCAGTATAGGCCTGGAAGTATAGGGCAGTTAAGTGGGACCTGGTAGAGGTGGCATTTTGCCTGGTGAGCACTACAGAGAATAGAGGAGGTTCGAAATGGAGGAGAGAAGAGAGTCACCACAGTGAGCAGCCATGGACTCCAAGCTCGTGGAGGGGGACACTAAGGAGACTGTGAAAAGGGGTCAGAAGATTGGAGACCATGAGAAGGATGAAGAACTTTAGCAATGTGTGTACTACAGATGGAAACTGAAAGGACAGAAAGTTTGAAGTTAGGCATTTGGAGGGGCTGCCGTCTCTAGGCTGTGGCCATGAAAGCGGGTGGCTGGGATGGGATAGGTACACCAATTATTGGAGAAGAGAGCTTAGGGTCTCAGAGATGGACACCTCTGGATTGAGGGGAAGGTAGGAGTGGAGGACAAGATGGCAATCAGAAGCTTAGGTCCTCAGAGTGCCAAGGGGAGGTGGTCAGAAGACAGTAAACTGGGGGCACAATGAGTCAACTAAAGTGTAACTGTATGAGATGTAAAGAATCTGGGTTTTGAAGGTGAAAGGAGAAGAAATGGGTTTGGAAGTGCCAAGAAGGACACCAGCTTTCCACACAGCCTTGTGGCAATGGGCATAAAAGAAGTACAGCTTCCACTGAGAAGGTTACAGGGAAAGCAGTGTCCCCAGAGAAGGGTCAAGAGGCCATGGAAATACACAGAGGCAAGGTGACCGTTTACTCGTATCTTTCCATAATATCCCAAGAATTCCCCCTTTACTCTCAAAGGTATCCTGGTTTGGAAAATATATAATGTACCCTCCCTTGCCCAGCAGGGGAGTCAGGCATACAGCAAGTGCCAAATAAACAGCTTGTGATGCCGAGTTACACAATTTTCTGTCTGAGGCTCTCCTCCCTTTCAGTAACAGAGAGCTCTTTCTAGGTTCACTCCACTGAAAGGTCCCTAAAGCCTTCGAGGCTGCATCTTGATTGCTGTCTGTGGTTCCATCGCCTTGTCCTCCCTGAAGCAAGTATCTACCTTGGACCGAGTCCATCTGCCCAAGTACATCATTAGTGGCTGTGAGGAGGGTAAGTGCCTCCTTCTGGAGGATGTCAGCCTTCTAGAGGGCCTGCTTTCCTTTCAAGATTCACTTTACAAGTAAAGAATTCATGATGAGATAACAGGCTCGGGATAGCTCAAAAGTTGGATGGCTTCAAGATGGGGAAAGAAGAAGGATTTCTTCACATGGAGCCATGAAGTTGACCTTTATTTTGTCTGTTAATTCAGGTGACCAAAGCCATCAAAATCCCATGAAAAATGATTTTGAAGTTCTAGAGAAAATGTATCTGAGAACAAGCTTACCTTGGCTCTTCTACTCAGAAAGCTGCTGCCGAAATCCTTGAGGTTTTCATAAGTAATCTCATCTGAAGGCATTTTGTACTGGGCATCAGAGCTCAAGTTTAGGATCTGAACAGATGGGACATTGAACTCTGTGATGTGGAAATACTCTAAGACGTGTCTGTTTCTGTGTTCATCCACATCCACAAGAACAAAAAGGATCTGCCAAAGCAAACAGAACTGTTAGATCTCCAGACCCTTTACCAGGGAGACAGGGAAGCTGTATGCTAATGGAATGTAAATAGGGAGGACTGGGAGCCGCTCTGAAGGGTTTAAAACAGGCTGGTTTCCCTCGGGCAGGTGCATCCCAACATCAAGTACACAGACAGGCAGCAGCTGCCAGCCTGGCTTCAGCAGCTTGTGCTGCGCACATCCTCACAACTTTGTGAAGTCAGGAAGCTCTGAGCTTTTATCCTCATTCTGTGCCTCAGTTTACTTATCTATTAAATCATGATTATAATAGTACCTACCTTAGAGGGTCGTGAGAATTAACCAGCACAATGTATTGTTCCATGATGGGCAGATAGAAAATGTTCAATGAGGAAGGAGCAAAGGGGAAGGGGAAGTGGGAGGGGTAGGGGAAATGAAAGAAGGGAATGGAATTTATATGAGAAAATGAAAAAAATGGAAACAAAGTCTATGTAAATAGGGAGGGATGGAGGAGTTGAAGGGAGGGCAGGGGAATGGGGAAAAAATAAGAACCAAGATGGATTATGTAAAGGTGCAAATTCCCAATGATGAATGTCATTATATTGTACACCTAAAATGTACCAATAAAGTTAATAAAAATGAATAAATAAAAAAGAAAATGTTCAATGCCTGCCAATTCTTGTTACTATTCAAAAATACTCTATTAAGGAAACCTATGACTTCAATTCAATTATTCATGCAGTAAATATTCATAGAGTGGATACATATGCTAGACATTGTGCTAAGCCCTGGGGATATAACACTGCCCAAAGCGGACAAAATCTCCACCTTCGTGGAGCTTATACTCTAGTGGTGAAGGCAGATAACAGAAGATAAATTCAGAAATAAAGGACACTTAGACACCAGAAGGGAGCAGTGGATACAGCGCACAGATGAGGGGAAGCGGAGGCTCAGTAAAGAAGTTGGGATGATCAGGGTGATTGGAGAGAATGGAAGGAGATGATATTCTAGCTGAGAGCTGGGTGATGAACAAGTCAGGGAATGGGCACTGAGGGAGCAGAAACTGTGAATCCCGAGGTCTGGTGGCAAAACAACAAAGGCCCAGTGTCCTAGGCAAAGCCAAGAAAGGCCACGTGGCTTCAGCAGCAGGAGGCAAGGAGTCATGGGAGATGAAGTCAGAGGCTGTCAAAGCTGGTTTAAACATAACAGGAGGTACAGCACTCTGAAGAAGGAGATTGAAGAGGATATAAGAAAATATGCCTTGTTCCTGGGTAGGAAGAACCAATATAGTGAAAATGGCCATACTTCCAAAACTACTATATAGATTCAATGCAATGCCAATTGAAATTCCAACAATATACTTCACAGAACTAGAGAAAACAATCCAAAAATTCATTTGGAAAC